GTGATTTAGAAAAGGGAGGACTTGTGCTCCACATAGTGGAAACATGGTAAAACGCAACTTGTCCAATAATTCCTGGACAGGGAAGGAAATTAGATTGGGCAAGTGAAAACATTTGAAACCATCACGGCTCACATTCCTTCCTCCTGATAACTAGTCACTCCAAGGAAAAAGGGCTCAGTGACAAGTTATCCAAAGTGGTGAGAACGGTATATATATTATAAATATATATATAGACATAAAAAAACCACATAATTAATGCGGTCAGAATGATGACTTAATGGGTAGTTACTAGTTAAGCTTTCTTGCAACCTCACCAAGATAGTTGTTTTTAACATGGGCTGACGAGGATACTAACTGCCTGCTTCCACCTCGCAGTAATTCAGTCTCCAACCACTATACCGCACAGCAGCAGCCATAATTCGGAGCTCATTGTGAATATTGCAGAAATTCAGAAATTTGATTGAAAAAAAATTAAATAACTTGTTTAACATTACAATTTTGTAAAATTTATAAAACATCCTAGATTAAAAACGCAATGCCCACTTATAGTTGGTGCAGAAATCAACAAGTAGATGAACATATTCTGCTGAGGGCACACAACAGCCTTTCATGCGATGTGATCGTACAATTCAATAGCATTAAAAAAAATCTCAGAGGAAAACCTCACTAGATTTATAACAATAGACCTAAACCAAGTCTGCACATGTCCAGCATGTAAAAGGCATTAATGCAGCTACATTCTCCAGTCATTTCAGCTTTCTGATAACTGGAACATCATGCTACAATGCAAAAGTAACAGCATTCCCTCGTCATTTTGGTTTTTTGCTAAGTGTAATAATAAACATTTGTTATCAAGCTACAAGAACTTCACTTTAACAACTGGCACAAGTTATGTCGAGTTTGCACGCAGTACTGATTACAGATAAGCACAGAATTCCTATGGGAATAAGCACTTGAATGGAGAAAATAGGCTTCTAAGAATTACACACAAGAAATCAAAAGCAAATAATCTATAAATGTTCCCTGGGGAATGAGTTGCAAGGTTGTAATTTAATAGATGCCCTAAACCAAGATTGCCCATTATATGTCCCCCTTCCTTACACTTCTGTGCCCCCATTTCCCCCTCCTCCCTCACAACCACAATCACCCAGGTGAAGTTCACCACTTGCTGCCTCAATCCCCTTCCTACCCAGCTGCTGGCCACTCAACTGCCCCTTCTCTCCCCTCTGCTAGAAGACACGGACAACCAGTCTCTCTCCTCAGGTTCAGTTCCTCTCCCCCTGAAAACCACTGTTATCACACCCCTCAAAAAACCCACCCTCGATCCCTCTAATCTCACACACTACCGTCCCATCTACAACCTACCCTTCCTTGCCAAAGTCCTGGAATGCATTGTTGCAGGTCAACTTCGGTCACACCTCTCCCTCCACTCCCTCCTCAAGCCCCTGCAGTCTGGTTTTTGCCCTGCCCACAGCACCGAGACAGCGCTTGGCAAAGTCACAAATTACACTCTATCTGTGACCAGGCCTCCCTCTGCCTCCTCGTCTTCCTGGATCTCTCAGCCACGTTCGACACAGTCGACCACGCCATCCTCCTCCATTGACTCTCCTCCATCATCTACCTTAGTGGGACCGCACTCGCAAGGTTCGAGTCCTACTTAACCAACCGCCTCCATTTCATCTCAGCAAATAGTTTCTCCTCCCGCCCCCGCCCGGTCACCTGCAGGGTATCCCAGGGCTCCATCCTTGGCCCTCTTCTTTTCCTTATCTACGTGCTCCCTCTGGGCAATGTCATCCACAGACACGGGGTAAACTTCCACATGTATGCGGATGACACACAAATCTACTTTGCCTCCTCCAGTACCAACTCCAGTTCCACTGATGTCCTATCAGCTTGTCTGGCAGACATCAAGGCCTGGATGAGTATAAACTTCCTGCAGCTGAATGTGTTCAAGACGGAAGCCATGCTCTTTGGCTCCCATCAACGTCTTCACTCCTGTGTATCTAAACTCCTCAACCTCCCTGGGCTCCCCTCAGACTCACCGAATCAGTGCGCAATCCAGGCGTTCGGTTCGACACCCAACTATCCAGTCCCTGACCAGGACCGCTTTCCTCCACCTCCGCCACATTGCCCGCCTCCAATGGTACGTTACCCCAAATGCAGTCAAAACCTTCGTTCAAGCGTTGGCATCTTCTGCTTGGATTACTCCAACGCGCTCCTCACTGCACTCCCCAGCTGCACTATTCAAAAGATCCAGCTCATTCAGAACTCTGCCTTTGCGACTCCAGCGCTTTGGGACGTCCTCCCGATGTGAAAGGCGTTCTATAAATGTAATTTTGTTGTTGTTGCTGCCCGCATACTGACCCGGACCAAACTCCGTACCCCCACCTCACCAGTTCTGGCCAGGCTCCACTGGCTCCCCATCACCAAACTGATCAACCTCAAGATCCTCACACTCATGTTCAAATCCATTCACTCCCTGGTACCTCCCTACTTCTCCGACCTCCTCACTCCCTAATCCACCACCCGACGCCTCTGCTCGACTGGCACCGGCCTCCTGCTCATCCCTCGCACCCTTCACCTCACCATCGGAGGTTGCGCTTTCAGCCACAACACCGCCAAAACTCTGGAACACTCTCCCTCAATCCCTCTGCCTTGCCCCCTCGCTCCCCTCTTTCAAGTCCTGCCTGAAGACTTTCCTGTTCAACCGTGCTTACGGCCATGTTCCCCCTCCCCCCGACTCGGAGTCAGGCTCTGCCACTGTCAAGCGCTCTGGGACACTACCCTGCGTGGAGGGCACTATATAAGTGCAAGTTGTTCTTGTTGTTGTCCCACAGGTTAATGACGCTCCTCATTTGTACTTGTGCAGAAATTCTTGGTTATTTGATCTACAGAATAGCTTGTTTCATGTGTGACAAGTCGGAAATGTTGAGTTAAATGTTTCAAATGTCTCCTTTATTCTAAATAGCAGCTGGCAACTCAGGCACTTTCCAGTGGTTTTCTATGATACCTTTGCTTTTTTGTAAAGATGTGAAAATCCTGAACCCATCAACAGCAACCAGTTTAATAAATTATTCATGTCTGTCAGTAGTCAGAGATCTGATATAGAACATATCTTGCAAAGTTCTGTATCGGCACCTTCTATATTGGTCTTCAATAGTAAACATTGATGTTTAGGGAGTCTGGAAACTTTGGCATATCTCATGTCTGTAAATGGCTAATTGCAGGAATGATTTTATGTTGCCAGGAGACCTCCAATTCCAAGAATTCCTTGAGTATTTAATTTGTTAAGTAAGAGTTAAAAAGCAGGGCTTCAAAGCAACCACGTTTTTGAAAACTGCTGTTTGAACAGGATGGGAGTTCTCTGTGTTTCTTCTCTCTCCAACCCCCACCCACCCCTGCCCCCATTCTAGGTCAACGGGGGAGAATTCTGTCCCTCATGTCAGACCATACTTGAGGGAAAGGAATTTCAAACAGGAAGATGACAAAGATTGATTTGGGAATGCTCTGAAAAGAACTTTTGTCAATGAACTCAGACTCACACTGAATCAAGAGACCTTACTGAGGGTGTCCGAGTCATTATGGACTTGCTCATTGTGTTTAGATTATGTAGTGTGCTTTTAGTAACTGCTACTTGTGTTTCATTTTGCTAACTGGTGGTATGTAAAGACATTAATAGCTATAGGTTGTGAAGGAATATCCAACATCTCGAAATTAATTTGGTAAGGTGGTGCAAGACAATGCAAAATCCACTAAGAAGATTAAAAGTAAATAATTGTGAGCCCTTAAGTAAGTAGGTCTACAAGGGCAGAATGTTAACAGGTTACATAGCTTTCGTATCATAGACAAAACCATGCTAAAGGAAGGAAGAGCTGTTTTATCATTAAAGAAACTACACAAAAAAATTAGTATCCCTGAAATCAGAGCTGCATTTCGCCATTTCACTTACTTACTATCGCAATGCAAACCAAAAATCTAGAGTTCAGTTATTATAGTCTGGATCAGTATTTAAATGTGTACTCAGCCAATCTAATGACTTTCAAAAATAACTTGCACCCACCTCCAAAAGCCAAGTGGGTGTATCAAACTTAAAAATGGCTTTATAAAAGGTTTTTAAAAAGTTAGGATATGGTAAATTAGATAGGAAAAAGGTTTTATTTTAAAATGAATTCAGTACAAAAAAAAGACTGAGAAAGGAGAGGAAGAGAAAGAGGAAGAGAACAAGAGAAACAAATTGGTAACAGGAAAAGAAAGCACAGTAAAGTATTCAGAAATGATAAACCTTTTTATTTTAGAGTGATTCTGTGAGAACGGCCCCAGTTGACTGTGGGTTCACATAGAGAACAGGCCTCATGTGGACTTGAGTTAACCTGAGCACTCCGGGACGCAGTCTTGTGTGAAGAACGCTATATAAATGCAGGTTGTTGTGGTGGTGGTGGTGCTCAGGTTCTGGCTTTCTCAGGTTGACTAGCTTTTTGAAACGACAATATCTTTAAAATGTTGGAAAATAATGAGATTCACCGATTGACTGAATCGAAGAATAATACTTGCCATTAACATAATGGTGCAATTTGTAAACAAAACAGAACCATGCTTGCTTGTTAAATAAAATGTTACAAATCTTTACTATTATTGAAAAAGCAAATTTGTTTTAAAAGAAACTACTGAAGTAGTAAACACTGAAGTAGTCCACTGTTTACTTCATTTAATTCTAAAGTTCTTCCAAAGTTCAACCAAATTGGATCCTTGATATCTTTAAATCTAAAATATAACAAGCTAAGTACTAACCCCTGGAAATTCAGTGCTTCTGTGAGCAAGGGCAGGCAGGTTCAAATTGTATTGCACAAAGTTCCCAATAATAAGCCTTGCCATTCAGAGGCTGCAGCATCTCCCAGTAATAGATGGAAGAGAAGTCGACGGAAATATCACACATTAGCAGATATAACAGAGGATTCGCTTGCAAAAAATGAGCTAACATTTCAATACAATAGTTGACCTACCTAGAAGAATAAATCCATCTGCCTCCTTCTCAGATGTTGAGCTTTTCTTGGGCGACTCTGTGTTCTTTCGAATTCCCAGAAAAGTTAGCATTTCACTCTCCAAGGCTGAAAGACAAAAGCCTAATTGCTGAAACCATACAATTAAAATCTAAAGAAAACCACGCAAGCACCTGGGATTGTTAAAAAATATATTTTTAAAATACTCGTGTAAATATTCTGACTTTTACATGAAAGCAGATCAACCAGATGTTAAGATAGCTTAGTACTCTATCTCTTTTCTGTCATTTACGAGTCTGACAAACATGGTAATTCTTGCACTGCTTAGGAATCACGATTTCTAGCTGCCGAGAAATCACAGAAGCAGAGCTTCTATTTGCTCTTAGCACACTGACTTTTCACCTCTGGGAACGGTGTTTGAAATCAACCCAGATTAGGGTGAAAGTCTCCTCTGTCTGTGGACTGTAAAAGCTCCTGTGTGAAATGAATCCAGGAGTCTCAACTGAATTCCTTGTGGGCTCACAACACAAAACTCCCCTTAATTCAGCACTCAATTTGCATCTCACTCATAGAGGCCGCAGGAAGTATGGTGTGGGAAAATTACAGAGATATAGTATGAGACATTCTCCTCAAATTGAGGCTTTGGAACATTGTCGGAGCAGAATAAAAGGCCTACTTTACTCTGTATGCTATAGCTCACCTATCCTTACTGTACACCCATGCTGACATTGGGTTCCCAAATGGCAAAAGTCTTGCTTTTCCAGGACTAAAATCCCGCACCTTTATCAAGGACAAAAATCAAGAAAAGGTCCAATTGTAAATTCAAAGAAAAACCTCAACGTAACACTACTAGTAACTGTTTTGGTATTTGTGAAAGTGCTGGGGTTTAACACAGGATTGAAGACCTACTGAGGAGTCAGGCTGCCTGGTAATTGTTTTTAAATCCTTAGATTATTGTAGACGCACATGACTTTATTGCCCCAGGCATATTGCCTGGAGACAGTTCAACCCAAGGGAATTCCCTCATTCACTGGAACATTTATAATCCTTGCATTTTATATAGCGCCTTATCACATCTTCGAGACGACTCAAAGCACTTCACAGAATACATTGTCAAGTAAATTGACTGTATATATTCTGGGCAATTCACGGCAGCCAATTGCGCACAGCAGTGTCCCACAAACAGTCGTGGATCGAGTGAACAAATTAATTTGGGATTATTTCCCCTGGAAAAGCGATCTGCCAATTGACTAAATATTTACTGTTAGGTAAGCAGAGGCGTGTGGAGTAAGATGCCCAACTTGCCTAACATTTTGCCTGCCCAGGAATCAAACCCAAGTGCTCTCACTTGCGAGGCGAGTGCTCAAACCTATACGGGACAGGACTCCCAAGATTTTTATATATAAAAAGGTCCTTTCAGCTTGATAAGAGGTTAGCAGATCACTGAGGTAGGAAGGAATAAGTTGGAAATCAACTAAACCTACAATGTTTACAATTATGTGAGCTGAGCGAAGGAATACAGTAAAACTCACACAAGTCTTATCTTTATCTTTATATATCGTGTGTCATTAGTCCAAAGTCGTACATTCACCTGAGTCCCATTCAGTTTCCCATCAAACCAATTAGATATATTTGGACTATTTGTATTAATCACCTCCTAACTTGTAACTCCACTGCTTTCCCCTCCATTGCTCCCGCACTTACCAGCTGCCTTGAATCGTGGGAAATTACATCCTGACAACGCACGTGCACTTAGCGACCGGCTGCATTGAATCGCAAGTAACACAATCTTGATCCGTCAACGCATGCGCAAAAAAACTTCCATTTCCTGCGATTCAATGCAATTCCAACCTATGCAGCGACGGGTCACGATGCATTGAGTCACGGGGAAATGTCGTTTTGACCTGTCACCGCACATGCGCTTACCGGCCGCAGTAAATTACACCCGTGCAGCATAGATTGATCGCATTGGATGGATTGCATTGATCAGCACACTGGTTGTCGCTGTTGGAAGCAACGGCGTGACAGCCGGCCAGCGCCCGAGGCCCGCTGGTCACTGCACTGATCGACTGAAGGCCATTGACCGGGGATGCCAGAAGTTAAAATAAATGTGTAGCCCAAAGTCCAGCACACAGTAGCCCAAAAGTAGCGCAAAAAATATGCATCGCCTCCTATGGGAGGCAGAGGCCAAGTTAGATCATTGCGCTGGAAACCGTGCAAGACAAGGTCTGCAAAGTGTGTGTGAGGGGGGAGGGGGAGAGGAGAGGGGAGAGGGGAGAGGAGGGGGGAGGGGAGGGCAGGGGGGAGGGGGGGGGAGGGGAGAGGAGAGGAGGGGGGAGAGGGGGAGGGGAGAGGAGAGGGGAGGGGGGGGGAGAGGAGGGGGGAGGGAGAGGGGGGGGGAGGGGGAGAGAGGGGGGGAGGGGGGAGGGGGGAGGGGGGAGGGAGAGGGGGGGAGGGGGGAGAGGAGGGGAGAGGAGAGGGGAGGGGGGAGAGGGGGAGGGGGAGAGGTGGGGGGAGGGGGGGGAGGGGGGAGGAGGGGGGGGGGAGGAGGAGAGGGGGAGGGGAGAGGAGGGGAGGAGGGAGAGGGGGAGGAGGGGGGAGGGGAGAGGAGGGAGGAGAGGGGAGAGGAGGGGGAGAGAGGGGAGGGGAGGGGGGAGGGGGGAGAGAGGGGGGAGGGGGAGAGGAGGGAGGAGAGGGGAGAGGAGGGGGGGAGGAGGGGGAGGGGAGAGAGAGGGAGAGGGGAGAGAGGGGGGAGGGGGAGAGGGGAGGGGGGAGAGAGGGGGAGTGGGGAGGGGAGGGAGGAGAGGGGAGAGGAGGGGAGGAGGGGGGGAGGGGGGGGGAGGGAGAGGGGGGGGGAGAGGAGAGGAGGAGAGGAGAGGGGGAGAGGAGGGGGGAGAGGGGGGAGGGGAGGGGGAGAGAGGGGGGAGTGGGGGAGAGGAGGGGGAGAGGGGAGAGGAGGGGGAGAGGAGGGGGGAGGGGAGAGGAAGAGGGGAGGGGGGAGAGAGGGGGAGGGGAGGGGGAGGGGGGGGAGAGAGGGGGGAGTGGGGAGAGGGAGAGGAGGAGAGGGGAGAGGAGGGGGAGAGAGGGGGGAGGGGAGAGGGGAGGGGGAGAGGAGAGGAGGAGAGGAGAGGGAGAGGAGAGGGGAGAGGAGGAGAGGAGGGGGAGGGGAGAGGAGGAGAGGGGAGAGGAGGGGGGAGAGAGGGGGGAGGGGAGAGGGGAGGGGGGAGAGGAGAGGAGGAGAGGAGAGGGGAGAGGAGAGGGGAGAGGAGGAGAGGAGGGGGGAGGGAGAGGAGGAGAGGGGAGAGGAGGGGGGAGAGGAGGGGGGAGGGGAGAGGGGAGGGGGAGAGGAGAGGAGGAGAGGAGGAGAGGAGGGGGGAGGGGAGAGGAGGAGAGGAGGGGGAGGGGAGAGGAGGAGAGGGAGGGGGAGAGGGGAGGAGAGAGGGGGAGGGGGGGAGGAGAGGAGAGGAGGGGGAGAGGTGGGAGGAGGGGAGAGGGAGAGGAGGAGAGGAGAGGGGGAGGAGAGGGGGAGAGGGGGGAGGGGAGGAGGGGGGAGGGGAGAGGAGGAGAGGAGAGGGGGGAGAGGGGGAGAGAGAGGGAGGAGGGGAGAGGGGGGAAACAACAGGTTATTGTAGGTTTAGATATAAATCAATGAAATAGGAGGCGTCCGGAACATAGCCGCGGGAACCCGCCCAACCAGGCCCGGGAGCCGCGGCACACAGCAACCGCCTCAAACCGGCAGCCCCTCCCCTCCCCAACAACAACAACAACAACCACCACCAGCACCACCACCACCACCAGCAGCACCAGCAGCAGCAGGTGTGTGCTGTGCAGTCAGTGGGGGGAGTGGGCGCGGAGAGCGGTGCAATGCCTCACCCGCGCCTCCGCCTCCGCCTCCTGACGTCGCTCCTCTGTCCCGGCGGCTGTGACGCGGCGTCGGCGCGGGGGCCGAGGGGGGGCCGCGGGGGAGAGGCCACGGGGGAGGGGCCAGAAGGGCGGGGCCGAGGGGGGCGGGGTCACCGCCCCCTCAGCCAATCAGCGTCTCTCCAGCCCAGGCCCCGGCGGTGCTGCCGATCACCCACCGAACCGCGCGTCAACCCCTTCACCGTTATATTCTTGTGAAGCGCTTTCAGACGCCGAGCAGTGAAGAGCTCTGTATCAAACGCAACGATTATTATTATTGTTGTTATTATATTAAATGTCAGGATTATTAATACAATAGAGCGCAATCATACTTTACTGCAATGTGTATTCAGGTGTTCCCAACTTTATTTTTTGGGCAGTTTTCTTTTAAAACTTTTGTTGTGTGTGTTTTGTTGCCCTCTCCCCTTTAATATCCACATACTCCCCCTCCGTGACATCATCCGCAGACGTGGGGTCAACTGCCATATGTATGTGGATGACACCCGACTCTATCTTTCTGCCTCCGCCCTCAACTCCAGGACCACTGCTGTCCTGACAGACTTCCTGTCGGACATCAAGTCCTGGATGAGGGGCAAATTTCCTACAGTTGAATGTGAACAAGACTGAGGCCCTCCTGATTGGCTCGAGCCAGCGCCTCAGCACCTCAGGCTATGGCAGCATCAACCTCCATGGTTTCACACTTCAACTCACCAACTTCAACTGACTCCTGCCAGTCAGGAACCCAGGTGTCTTGTTCGACCCTCAACTGACTTTTCTTCCCCACATTCAAGCCATGAGCCGCTCTGCCCTCCCTCACCTCTGTAACATCGCCCGACTCCGCCACTACCTCACCCCTCAGGCCTCTGAAACTCTTGTTCATGCCTTCATCACCTCCAGGCTCGACTATGCAAATGACCTGCTTGTCGGCCTTCCCAACTCCTCCCTCCACAGACTGCAGATAATCCAGAACTCTGCAGCCCGTGTCCTCTCCCGCACCAAACTCCGTGACCCCATCTCCCCCACTCTCGCCCGACTCCATTGGCTCTCTATCCTTCAGAGGATCCAGTTCAAGATCCTGGTCCTCACCTACAAAGCCCTCCATGGCCTCGCCCCACCCTACCCCTGCGACCTGCTAACCCCCTACCAACCTGCCCGGTCCCTCCGCTCAGCCGGCTCCGGGCTGCTCCACGTCCCCCGACCCACCCGCCCCACCATTGGCGGGAGAGCCTTCAGCCACTCTGCCCCCAACCTCCGGAACTCCATCCCCCACTCACTCCGCCTCACCCCCTCCTTCAAGTCCCACCTCAAGACCCTCCTCTTCGACTATGCCATCGGTCACCCCCCCCCTTCCCCTCCCTTCTCCCCCACCCCCCCCCTTCCCCTCTCCCCCCACCCCCCCCTTCCCCTCCCCTCCCCCCCACCCCCCCCTTCCCCTCCCTTCTCCCCCTGACCCCAGCTCGGGTCTGAAATGCTGTACACTGTCCAGCGCTTTGGGACGTCCTCCCGACGTGAAAGGCGCTGTACAAATATAATCTTGTTGTTGTTGTTGTATTGGTGCAGAGCTCCAAATGATCTTAATGTGGGTTTATTATAACAATGCTATCAGTTTCAGGATGATGTGGTTGTAGTTTGTTCCCGTGTAAGACCTGTCAAATCTCATCACTCTGCGTGTGTTGTATTTAATAAAGATAAATTCAAAGGGAAACTTTTTTTTTGAGGGACACAAATTACAACGTGTTCCGCCCACAGCGTCAGGGCAGAGATCTGCAGAACAGTGAAGGTGAAACCCCGGAATGTTTCTGGAGGTGTGAGCGACTCCGGGGGGAAGGCGATTGTGTGACACAGGGTCGGGGGGAAGGCGATTGTGTGACACAGGGTCGGGGACAGGAAGCAGTAAGTGAAGCCGTTTCCCGCCAATTCCTCCCGGAGCGGAGGAGCGAGGGCTGGAGTTCCTGACACGGCACAGGGAGGGCGATGGCGGAGGTTCTGGCGGCGCCGCGCACCAGGATCAACACCGGCCTCATCTCAGAGCACAGCGACAAACCCGTGTGCTTCGTGGGCAGAGTACAGAGGGTGAGACAGAGAGAGTGTGTGAGAGAGAGTGTGTGCAGAGGGTGTGTGTGAGAGGGAGTGTGTGTGTGAGAGGGAGTGTGTGCAGAGGTTGTGTGTGTGTGTGTGTGTGTGAGAGAGAGGGAGTGTGTGTGTGTGTGTGAGAGGGAGTGTGTGCAGAGGGAGGGTGTGAGTGGGAGTGTGTGCAGAGGGTGTGTGTGTGAGAGGGAGTGTGAGTGGGAGTGTGTGCAGAGGGAGGGTGTGTGTGTGTAGAGGGTGTGTGTGTGAGAGGGAGTGTGTGCAGAGGGTGTGAGTGAGAGGGAGTGTGTGCAGAGGGAGGGTATGTGTGTGTAGAGGGTGTGTGTGTGAGAGGGAGTGTGTGCAGAGGGTGTGAGTGAGAGGGAGTGTGTGCAGAGGGAGGGTGTGTGTGTGTAGAGGGTGTGTGTGTGAGAGGGAGTGTGTGCAGAGGGTGTGTGTGAGTGGGAGTGTGTGCAGATGGAGGGTGTGAGTGGGAGTGTGTGCAGAGGGTGTGTGTGAGTGGGAGTGTGCAGAGGGTGTGAGTGGGAGTGTGCAGAGGGTGTGAGTGAGAGGGAGTGTGTGCAGAGGGTGTGTGTGTGAGGGAGTGTGTGCAGAGGGTGTGTGTGAGTGGGAGTGTGCAGAGGGTGTGAGTGAGAGGGAGTGTGTGCAGAGGGAGGGTATGTGTGTGTAGAGGGTGTGTGTGTGAGAGGGAGTGTGTGCAGAGGGTGTGTGGGAGTGTGTGCAGATGGAGGGTGGGAGTGTGTGCAGAGGGTGTGTGTGAGTGGGAGTGTGCAGAGGGTGTGAGTGAGAGGGAGTGTGTGCAGAGTGGGAGTGTGTGAGAGAGCAGCGGGTGAGGGCGAGCGGAGGCTAAATGTGTAGGGGGTGAAGAGAGTGAGTTCAGAAGGTGTGAGAGTGTAGAGGGTGAAACGAGCCGACGCAATCCTTGATTTTTTGGTTAGAGCACTCGCCTCGCAAGTGAGAGACCTGGGTCCCGGCCGGGCGAAACCTTGGGAATGTTTCCTTACTCTACACGCCGAATAATAATCCCTCAAGAAAAAAACCAATAATAAATTGGTGACTTCAATCCACGACTGTTTATGGGACACTGCTGTACGCAATTGGCTGCCGCGATTCGACCACAAAAATGCAGTCAATTCACTTTACAGTCTATTCTATGAAGCACTTCGAGACGTCTCGAAGATGTGAAAAGTGCTATATCAAATGCAAGGATTATTATTATTTTGTTTGTCAGCCGAGTGAGTGCTTGACACATGCAGAAACCCATCACCCTTCTTAAGAGCTTCCAAACCAAACCGAGAGTTACGTGCATCTATAGAGTTCCACCCCTCTATAGGAATGCTCACTCTCCCGGCAGGGAATCATCCTGCTTTCCTAGTTCCTATGGAATATTAACGGTAGGCTGGCAAAAGCCGAGCTTGGATACCCCGGAGTATGCTTTGTGATACTACTGGCTTAACCAGCTAAAACCACATAGCTTGCCATGGAGAACATTGCCTGGCAAGCTTTCCCATTGCCTATCTAGCTAGAACCACCCTACCAGTTAGAGCTTTGTCTTGCAGGGTTGACAGGAGCTGAGTGGGAAGAATCCCTGTCCCCAGTGACTGGTCTGCCCTTCCAAGTACTACTGATTAACCGGGCTGGCTCCGCTGGCATCAGCAGTGCCCTGGAGTACTGCGGAGCTTCCTGGCTTAGGAACTGGGCTACTGATCCCAATCAGGTTCACTCAATTCTGGGTTGATTCAATTCTGACATTCCGTTGCCAAGCTTGACACCTGGGAGCCAGTTCAGATCCAATGCTTACCTTACCTTCCCCCATCCCCCCCTAGAAAGTCACCAGTTGGTCATTTCACATCTGAAAAGTGCAAGTTTGAACCCTCACTCGGAGGAATGTACGTGCAAGGAACTCGGTGCGATCTTCCTGATTGGCTCGCACCTCTGCACCTCAGGCACTGGCCGCATCAGCATCCACGGATGCACACTCCACCTCACCAAGCCAGTCAGGAACCTGGGTGTCTTGTTCGACCCTCAAATGTCCTGTTTCACCCATATCCATGACATGGCGCCTTGGGACGTCCTCCTGACGTGAAAGGCGCTTTATAAATGGAATCTTGTTGTTGTTGTTGTTGATGGCCCACTCTGCCTTCATCCACCTCTGGAACATTACCCAACTCTGTCACTGCCTCACCCCTCAGGCCACCGAAACCCTCATTCACGCATTTGTCACCTCAAGGCTCGACTGTGGAAACTCTCTCCTTTGTCGGCCTCCCCAACTCTTCCCTCCACAGGCTGCAGATCATCCAGAATTCTGCAGCGCGTGTCCTCTCCCGCATCAGGCTCCGTGACCCCATCACCCACCCTCCCTCGGCTCCACTGGCTTCCCATCCTTCAGAGAATAGAATTCAAAATCCTCGTCCTTACCTTCAAGGCCCTCCACGGCCCCTCCTACCTCTGACCTGCTAACATATAATCCCTCATCCCAATCCTACTTCCCCCCCCCACTCGGGTCCTGATCCCTGATTGTTCGGTGCCATGGGAGGTTCTCCCATGGTGAAAGGCGCTTTACAAATGTAACTTTGTTGTTGTTCTTCCTGGTGGGAAACACAGCTCAGCATGAGATAAGTGGGAGCATTGCCACCATCTTTCCACCCACAGCTTAGACACACAACCCTTACCATTAATTGATGATTCCAACAGTTGGAGGTGCGGAGCTTGATCAGCAGGTGCTTGTCTCTGTAAACAAATCAAGGTGTGTTGGAGAGTGGGTGGGGGGGTAACAAACTGGTGTAACAAGTGGCTCAAAATTGCATCGAGTGTTGATCTTGAACACCTTTGTTTGTCCCCAAATTTCAGATTGCACTGAGTTGTGGGACATTTTTAAATTGACTTTTAATTTGGAAACCTATTTTCCACAGCTCTGAAAAAACTCTGCTGTCAAATTAAGAAATTTATTTTCCATAATTCTGTGTGATCTTATATTTTAATAGGCAGGGATGTGCGACTTTAATACAAAATGCAGCCAAAGATTAGGTAGATGTTGGACCTTAGGTCTCCTGTTCACTCTTTTCATGCCCCTGACTTTTTTTTCTTTGTTTCCCTTTTTGTTTTCTGTGACATTTGGTATGTCAGTTGTAAATACGTCAAAAAGAACTTTTAAAATGTACCTTTGCATTATTATTGTATCTTGGGAGAGTTTTTTTTTGATATTTAAAAAAAAGTGGTTAAAACTTGCTTACGCTTCTGTCTGTTGGTAGCTTTCATTAAATTGAAGAGATTTTTTGTAAAAAAAGACTCCATCAAAGCAAAACTCAATTTATTCATGACAACAAAAAGCGTATTATAAATCGTGTGATTATTTTCCCATTTCCTATACATCTGTATTTTCGGATTTGACCTGACTGTGCCAGGAAATCTTGATAGGTTGTCACAAATTGCTACACCTTACCCATCTGATATGTGCTGATATTCTTCAAACAGGTTCACCCCACCGGGACCTCATTTATTCTGCAAGATGGTGAAGGAAAGAATGTAACTGTGGAGTTGACTGATCCGGTGAGTCATTTTTTTAAAAAAAGGAAATTGAGTGTTTGGTTTCATTATTTTCATATTTAATTTTAGTATAGGCTGTACTGAAAACTTTCCTTTTTTTATAACAAACATGTCTGGTAACGAGTTCAATTCCAGGCAGGGCAAAACCTTGGGCAAGTTTCCTTACTCCACACGCCTAATAATAATCCCTCCAAAACAAAACAAAAATAAATTGGTCATTTTCAATCCACGACTGTTTGTGGGACACTGCTGTGTGCAATTGGCTGCCGTGTTTCGCCCACAAATATACGGTCAATTCAGTTTACAGCATATTCTGTGAAGCGCTTTGAGATGTCTGGAAGATGTGAAAAAGCGCCATATCAAGTGCAAGGATTATTATTATAGCAAGTTCCAAAGCTACAAAATATGACCTCTGGGTTCAAATGACGTCAAGTGTGATGAAACAGTATAAAAACTTTACCTTATGTTGGATTTACAGACCTTAAAGGGAAATGATTAAGGAAAGTGCACTCTATAAAATTCCATTTTTTAAAAAAAAAATCTTGTGTTTTTAAAGTGTCTTTAATGTTAATACATTAAAAAGGCAATTGCTGTCAAGTATAGTAATTGTTTTTATTAGCAAACATGGCAGTTGTTTTGCATGGGACAAAGTCCTGCAAATATTAACGAATAACCAATTTATGAGGAAGATATTGTAGGAAACTCCCTTCTCTTTCAAATACTGCTATGGGATATTTAATGCCCTCCTGAATAGGCAGGAGGAACTTTCGTTTAACAATGTATCAGAGTGAGAAGGAATTGGGTGAGAGTGGGAATTGCTGTGGGAACTGCTGTCGTGAGTATTCAAGTGTTGTGCTGTTTACCATTGGTCTTGTGGCGCAACGCTACAGGGAGCAGCTGCAGCTATTTAGACTTAACCAATAACAAGCAACGTACTGATTACTCACCTGGTTAGGTGCTAATTCTAAATGGAGTGAGGCCGGAGTGAGAAGGAATTGGGTGTAAGGTTGTAGTATATCTTCTAAGGACAATAATAATAATTTGTGGAGTCCTGTAGCTCAGCGGTTAGAGCACTCGCTTTGCAAGCGAGAGACCTGAGTTCAATTCCAGGCAGAGGGCGAAACCTTGGGCAAGTTTCCTTACTCCACACAGAGCCTAATAATAATCCCTCCAAAACCAAAATAAAATAAATTGGTCATTTTCAATCTGCGACTGTTTGTGGGACATTGCTGTGCGCAATTGGCTGCCGCGTTCACCCGTAAATATACAGTCAATTCACTTTACAGTGTGTTCTGTGAAGCGCTTTGGGACGTCCTCCCGACGTGAAAAGCGCTCTATCAAATGCAAGGATTATTATTATTATAATATAGGTATAAAGAGAGTGAGAGGAGGGAATGGCCATGGCAGGTGATGTGTGAGGTATGTGGGAGTTGACGGAGGGCATCCTGAGCCCGGGCGACTTCATCTGCAGCAAAGGTCTGCAACTGAGGAAGCTCCTCCAGCTTAGAATAGCTGAGCTGGAGTCTCGGGTGGAGACACTGCGCAGCATTAGAGATGGGGAGAGCTTCCTGGACAGTTTCATCCTGGAGCCAGACACTCCCCCGAGTCCCAGGGAACATTCCGTTGCCAGCCACGGACAGGACTGGGTGACGGTCAGACAGGCGGGTAAGAGGACCCTAAAGAGAGGGGCAGAGGGACCCCAGGCTTTAACCTTGTCCAACAGGTATGAAATACTTGCAACCTGTGTGGATAAGGAAGTCTGTGAGGAAGATGGGCAAACTTACCCCAACACCTCTATACAGGAGGCCACACAAAGGGGAATAGTCAGAAAGGAATATAGTGGTAATTGGGGATGAGACAGTCAGGAAGATTGACGCACTTTTCTGCAGCCGTAGCAGGGAGACAAAAAGACTTGGTTGCCTTCCTGGGGCCAGGGTGAAGGACGTCACTTCCGGGCTGGAGAAAAATTTGAAGCAGGAGGGAGTGGATCCAATTGTTATGATTCACATAGGGACCAATGATGTAGGTAGGACAGGTAGGGGCGAGTTGAGGAGCAAGTTCCAGGAATTGGGAGTTAAGCTAAAGAGTAGAACTTCAAAGGTATTAATGTCGGGATTATTACCTGAGCCAGGGGCAAATTGGTACAGGCAAAAATAAAAATCTGAATACCTGGCTAAAACAGTGGAGGGCAGGCGTTTCACTTTATGGGCCACTGACACCAGTATAGGGGGAGACGGGAGCTATTCCAAAGGAATGGACTCCACCTAAACAGGGCTGGGACAAATGTCCTGGCGACACGAGACAGGGCTTTGAACTACTAAGGGAGGGGTTGGGGGGTAAAATCAATCACATGTAATCCATCACAATTAAAATTAGGACCGATGAAAGAGGGAGAGCAGATTAACGAGGGAGATGAGCAAAGTGTGTCAAGCCGGGAAAAGAAGCCCAGGGATAGGGTACTGGTGAATAGGTCTAATAACCTGAAGTCAGAATTAAGGGCGCTATATCTGAACTTGCAAAGCATTCGAAACAAGATAGATGAACTAATAGAAACAAACAGGTATGATCTACTAGCTATCACTGAGACGTGGTTACAGGGAGATCAAGGGTGGGAGCTAAATATTCCAGGGTACGTGGTGTATAGAAAAGATAGGCAATGTGGTAAACAAGGAGGGGGGTGGCCCTGCTAATAAAGGATGGGATAAAAACAGTAGAGAGGAAAGATTTTAAATCAGAAAAGCAGGAAGTAGAGTCAGTATGGGTAGAGGTACGTAACAACAAGGGGCAGAAAACTCCAGTGGGAGTAGTTTATAGACCCCCGAACAGCAGTCACAGTATCTCTCAAGGTATAAATCAGGAAATTAGCCGAGCATATAGCAAAGGAAAAACATTAATTGTGGGTGATTTTAATCTGCACATAGATTGGGACAACCAAATTGGGAAAAGTATGATAGAGGAAGAGTTTATAGAATGTATTAGGGATAATTATCCAGATCACTATGCCGAGGAGCCAACCAGGGAACAGGCCATATTAGATCTTGTTTTGTGCAATGAAGCAGGGCTGAGCAGCAAACTGGAAATTAAGGCTCCTCGAGGGCAACGTGATCATAATATGATGGAATTTAGCATTAAGTTAGAGAGAGAAGTAGTTAAGTCCGAAGCAAAGGTTTTAAATTTAAGTAGAGCCAATTTTGCTGGTATGAGAGAGGATTTAGCCAAAATAAACTGGGAAATGAGATTTAAGGATTTGACAGTAGACCAGCAATGGCAGGAGTCCTGTAGCTCAGTGGTTAGAGCACTCGCTTTGCAAGTGAGAGACCTGAGTTCAATTCCAGGCAGAGGGCGAAACCTTGGGCAAGTTTCCTTACTCCACACACCTAATAATAATCCCTCCAAAACCAAAACAATAATAAATTGGTCATTTTCAATCTACGACTGTTTGTGGGACATTGCTGTGCGCAATTGGCTGCCGCGTTCGCCCACAAATATACAGTCAATTCACTTTACAGTATATTCTGTGAAGCGCTTTGGGACGTCCTCCCGACATGAAAAGCGTTATATCAAATGCAAGGATTATTATTATTATTAAACGTTTAAGGAGACAGTGCAAAATTCCCAGTGAGCACGTATTCCTTTGAGAAATAAGAATATCACGGGAAAGTTGGCCCAACCGTGGCTAACTAGAGCAGTTAGGGAAAGTATAAAGTTACAGGAAGAAGCCTATAAAACAGCTAAGATGAGTAGTAAACCCGAGGATTGGGAGAACATTAGGGATCAACAGAGGAGAACCGAAAAAGTGATTAAGAGGGAGAAAATGGAATATGAGGGCAAACCAGCGAAGAACATAAAGACAGACTGCAAGAGTTTTTATAAATATATAAAGAGGAAGAGGCTGTCAAAGGTAAATGTGGGTCCGCTACAGGCAGAGACGGGGGGAATTATAATAGGGGACAAAGACATGGCAGAGTCATTAAACAAGTACTTTGCTACTGTCTTCACCTTAGAAGACACTGAAAACCTACCAAGAATAGAGGAGAACCAAGAAAACAATGTTAGCGAGCAACTTGGGGAAATTAATATTAGTAAATGAATGGTTTTAGGTAAATTGTCAGGTCTTAAAACTGATAAATCTCCTGGACCTGATGGCCTACAGCCTAGGGTTTTAAAAGAGGTGGCTACTGAGATAGTGGATGGCTTGTCTTTGATCTTCCAAAATTCTCTGGATTCTGGAATGGTTCCCATTGATTGGAAGATTGCAAACGTAACACCACTATTTAAGAAGAGTGGGAGAGAAAAGATGGGGAACTATAGACCAGTTAGTCTGACATCAGTGGTAGGGAAAATTCTTGAGTCCTTAATTAAAGATGTCGTTATGGGATTCCTGGAAGACCATAAAAAGATTAGGCAGAGTCAACATGGCTTTACAAAAGGGAAGTCATGCTTAACGAATCTTTTAGAGTTTTTGGAGATGTATCTAGCAGGTTAGATAGGGGGGAACCAGTAGATGTAGTATATTTAGATTTTAAGAAGACATTTGACAAAGTGCCACGTAAAAGGCTATTGCACAAGGTTAGGGCCCACGGGATTAATGGGAACATATTAGCATGGATTGAAGAGTGGCTAACGGGTAGAAAACAGAGAGTAGGGATAAACGGGTCATTCTCGAATTGGCAGGATGTGACTAGTGGAGTGCCACAAGGATCAGTGCTTGGGCCTCAGCTATTTACAATTTACATCAATGATCTAAACAAGGACATTGAATGTAACGTATCTAAATTCGCTAAACTAGGTGGGAGAGTAAGCTCTGAGGATGATGCAAGAAGATTGCAACAGGATATAGATAGGCTAGGGGAGTGGGCGAGTAGGTGGCAGATGGAATTTAATGTGGGGAAGTGTGAAGTTATTCACCTAGGTAGAAAAAATAGAAAAACAGATTATTTTCTAGAGGGGGAGAGATTAGATAGTGTTAGTGTTCAGAGATATTTGGGTGTCCTTGTACACCAGTCTCAAAAAGTTAGTTTGCAGGTGCAGCAAGCAACTAAGAAGGCAAACGGCATGTTAGCGTTCATTGCAAAAGGTTTAGAGTACAAGAGTAGGGAAGTCTTGCTGCAACTCTAGGGTCTTGGTGAGACCGCACCTAGAGTATTGTGTGCAGTTTTGGTCTCCTTATTTAAAAAGGACATACTTGCCCTAGAGGGGGTGCAGCGTAGATTCACTCGGTTAGTTCCTGGGATGAGGGGACTGACCTATGAGGATAGGCTGAATAAACTAGGGCTATATTCTCTAGAGTACAGAAGAATTAGGGGAGATCTTATTGAAACATATAAGATTCTTAAAGGGCTGAATAAAGTAGACACTGAGGGTCTGTTTCCCCTGGTAGGAGAATCTATAACCAGGGGTCACAGTCTTAAAATTAAGGGTCAGCCTTTTAGAACAGAGTTGAGGAAACATTTCTTCACTCAGAGGGGAGTGAATTTATGGAATTCACTACCCCAGAAGGCTGTAGATGCTCAGTCCTTGAACATCTTCAAGGCTGAGACTGATAGATTTTTTTAAAAACAGAGGGATTAGGGGATAGGGCAGGTAATTAGAGTTAGGTCTGAAGATCAGCCATGATCTTATCAAATGGCGGGGAAGGCTCGAGGGGCCAAATGGCCTACTCCTACTCCTAATTCTTATGTATCTGAAGGACGTTACCTCTGACAGTACAGCGAGGAGGTCGGAGAGATGGGGAGGTGCCAGGGAGTGAAGGGATTTGAACACAAGTGTGAGAATCTTGAAGTTGATCCGTTTTGTGATGGAGAGCCAGTGGAGCCTGGCCAGAACTGGTGAGATGTGGGTACGGAGTTTGGTCCGGGTCAGTATGTGGGAAGCGGAGTTCTGAATGAGCTGAATTTTTTGAATAGCGGAGCTGGGGAGACCGGCGAGGAATGTGTTTGAGTAATCCAAGCGGGAGGTGCAAACGCATGCACGAGGGTTTGGGCTGCATTTGGGTAAGGTAAGGTCGGAGGCGGGCAATGTGGCGGAGGTTGAGGAAAGCAGTGCTGGTCAGGGATCGGATGTGGGGAAGGAAGGACAGCTGGTGGTCGAACCAAACGTCTAGATTGCGCACTGGTTTGGTGAGTGAGAGCCCAGGGGGGTTGAGGAGTTCAGATCCACAGGAGTGAAGATGTTGACGGGAGCCAAGGAGTATGGCTTCCGTCTTGTCCACATTTAGCTGCGGGAAGTTGGCACTCATCTAGGCCCTGATGTCTGCCAGACAAGCTGATAGGACATCAGTGAATCTGGAGGAGGAAAAGTAGATTTGTGTGTCATCCACATACGTGTGGCAGTTTATCCTGTGTCTGGATGACATCGCCCAGAGGAAGCATATAGATAAGGAAAAGAAGATTGCTGAACAAAAACTTTGTGAACACTTTGAACACTACTGCCTATTTTTCCACATCATCTTTTTTTACTTATCCCACTTTCCAAACCATAACCCTTAATGTTTTTACTGCTCATGTGCTTATCCAGTTCCCTCTGGAAAGATTCTATTGATCCAGGCTCAATATCCACTTGTGGTAATGAATTCAGGACGTGCATTTGGCAAAGCTACAAACGGTATTTTTCAGAAAATAGTTGTATGAATTATTTTGAATTTCATGAAATTCCAAGCTTACATCCAACTTTATCTTATCTTTGATTGGCAAACAGCATTTTGTTGGTTATTAAAGTGTCAAGTACATCCGTATGTAAAACGTAAATTTTATAAGAGTTTCATGAAGCTGTTCAGAAAGAATGCAATGTCAAATTTCCAAAGTTAGCGACATCAAAGGTCTCCTGCGTGATCATTCAGTTGATGAAAGGATGCACAGACTCCAGATGCAAACTCCTTTGAAGTGGCTTTCAAACTGGTCAGGAGGTTCCCATCGCTAGTAAATTTTGGAAATATTGGATGGGAAAAATGCTTTGGGGCTGTTTTCAATAGGGAGAAGAGAAAGTCACTGTGATCTGTACTCTGATTTGAAACGAGTGGATTTCCATAAAAGTACAGAGCCTGAATCCTAGTCAGTTTTGTTTTTTCTATGACTTGTACTGAAAATCACTATATTGAAAGAGCGCAAGAGTCTGCATTCGAGTCGAGTGAAGAGGAAATTTGATTCCAAGTAAAGCTGAAAAGGAGAAAGATGCACTCCTCAAATTTCATCCTTCCTTGTCAGAAGATTATTGAATGGCAAAAATAGCACCCTTCACGTTATTATGATTCTAACCCAGCATCAAACCATCCAGATCCCAATTCCAATCTGTTTGAAATATACTCATAAGAATGTAACTTTTCTTCCTCCCCCATCTATGTGTTTATTTTAAGTCAGTGTTTGAATCTGTTTACCACCTAAAATAGTCCTCCGTGTTCCCACTAAAATATTTTAAAGATCTTCCAAGTATTTTTAAGATCTTTGATTTACAGCATTGTTTTCTGAGACAAATCGAGTAAGATTGTATTGTGCCAGTGTATTCCATGGAGTTTTTTTTTGTGTGTTCCAAGGTGCCTACTACCTTCACATGCTCTTACCGTTTTGGGATGAAAAGAACTGAAGATCTTGCACTTACATGATTGATGTGGTGTTGAACTGAACCTGTGGATAGGTTAATTAACTCAGGAGTTTACTTTAATCACTTCTGCAACAGCTTAATCCGTGAGGAGTAGTCCGACACAGAGACTTGTGCTTTAATCCATCACAGCGGCAGATGTGTGCTTGTAAGCTGTGAAGTTTATAAACTGTGAAACAAAGGGTGGTGAACAGATTGAAAAGTGAAATTGCCCCATCAGAACAACACTGTATGATGTAGTGCAGATCCAGATCGATCTGTTTTCACAGCTATTTGTGTATGTGGAGATTTTCCTTGGAGAGTTTCCCAGAAATAATCTGTCTGGATGATTCATTCCTGTATACAGTATCAGAGTAATAGTTGCTCTGCCATTATATGCTGTGTATTGCATTTTCTAGAAACCAATTGCAAATTATCAATTTAAACCTGCATTTAATCTGGTGTCCGACAACAAATTACATTTGCATGGCGCCTTTCACGTCGGACGAACATCCCAAAGCGCTGGACAGTCAAGGATGTGCATAATCTATGACACTAAGTAGGATTCTTCCCATTGGAGCAAACAAATTGAGATTGCTAGACAGAGAGCTAATTGTGAAAAAGGCTTTCCGCTGGTGAGGGATTTTAGGACCAAACAGCATGATTTCCAGATTGTGACCAGGGGAAAAAGGGAGAGGTTTGGGAGAACTTCTCGCTGAGGGTCCTCAGAGGATGGAATTGGCAGAGGATGAATTACCATGAGTTACTAGAGCCAAGTTGATTTAAAACACTTGGCCTAGGACAAGCAGAGGAGGGGAATTAAAGGACACAGGTACAGAGCAGGCAGTTGGCATTATGATGGATGGCTTCTTGGGGAAAACACCGATACAATGAGGACTCCAACTAAGTTGTTCATTTTTATGCTTCTAATTCTGCTGCTAGTGCAAAAACTGCCCTAACCAATCTTTTTTTCTTCCCCCCTACACTCATACACAACACTTTAGACCCTGCATTAAGAATCAGTCGATAATATTGACTTCAACTTCCAAATAGCAACACCTGCTGGTAACTGGAAGTATATCCCTCTGACCCAGGGGAACACCACGATCAACTTCCAGGGGCGATGGAGTGGGGTCCCCACGGGTCAGTGTGATCCATTTCAAGTTACCGGCAGGAGTTTCTATTTGTGACTCAGCTGCTATTACTATCTTCGATTGTAAATCAGACCCCATTATAAATAACAAGCGAGTAGTGTTTTCCCGTTGTAATTGAACAGGTGGTCAGAGCCTCTCTGCTGGCATCCATTATTTTCCATGTTTACAAATAGAGCACAATGTAATATAATGCAGCTAACAAACTCTCTGTTCAGGTTTCCATCTTTTAAATCCTTTCTGGTAATGAGTAGATGTGGGAAGAGAAACATCTGCTTTAAATAACCTTTGCATTTGATATAAAGCTTCATCAATATCCTTCCCAATATTTAACTGTATCGTGTTGTGACTATGTATTTGTCGGCAAATTCGAGAGCAGCAATGTCTCACAAACAGACATGAAGTAAATGACTACAATGTTTTAGCTGTGGGATTGCTGGCCAAGAAACAACAACTTGTATTTATGTAGCGCCCTTCACAGAAAGTAGCGCCTCGAGACTCCAGCAGTACCCCAACATATTCTGGGATCCCCAACCCTTGGTTTTTTGTCAAACTGCAATAACCAGCCTTAATAGTTTCTGTAATTCAGTAAGAAGGATGCATTGCTCCAGGAAGAGAGTTTGCATTCCATGACAAACAGGAATTTCCAGGTGAAGATGGAATGAAACTCTGTTTGATTTGGATATTCGCAATCATGGTGATTTTTTTTGTATGTGTTGGACACCCGGCAGACCCCAAAAAATATTTTAATGCCTTCAACCAATTGTAGAATCCATTTTCTCTAACTTTACTTGTGTTTGTACTGTTATGCAGCTGGATGAGGAATTGAGTGGTGTGGTTGAGGTGGTTGGAAAAGTCACAAATAAAGCCAGTATCATGGCTGTGTCCTACATTCCTTTCCGAGAAGATAAGAACAGTTTTGGTAAGTACCATCATTTTTTGGAAGAGTAATTATTGCTCTGAACTCTGGTTCTAATTATCCAAATTGTCTCCTCCTCTGATTATTTATAATAATCCTTTTTTTGATATAGTGCCTTATCACATCATCAAAACGCCTCAAAGTGCCTCACTTTTTGCTAACTATGAAGTGTGGAGTAGTGCACACAGTAATATCCTACAAACAGCCATAAAGTGAATGACCAATTTGGCCAGAATACAAGAAGAAACTTCTTGTACAGGTAAACGGGATCTCGGTTTAATGTCTCATCTGAAGGACAGAACCCCCAACCCCCTCCCCCTCCCAACAATGCAGCATATCCTCAGCACTGCATTGAACAGACAGGATATTGGATTAACATCTCATTTGAAGCACAGCAACTCCAACAATGCACCACACCCGCTGCACTGAGACTGAATTCAAAGTCCTGACCTGGGGCTTGAACCGCCAACCTTCTGACTCAACACCAACAACAACAACTTGCATTTATATAGCGCCCTCCATGCTGGGTGGTGTCCCAGACTCAAAGGCGAGAATGCAACCAGCTGAGTCAGGCTGATGCCTGTCTGGTATCCGTCAAATTTACTGGAACATGTTCAAGGTTCAAAAGTATCTGTGTGGTTCTAGACTGTATAGTATACAAATAATTACAATATTGATTAGAACTTGTACTGGAGCATTGACAGCCGTAGTACTTTTTGATCCAAGAGAATCTTATTTCAGTCACCTCTGAAATGAATACTAGTGGGGTTATAAATTTAGAAAGTTATTGTGGGGAGTTTTATGAGCACAGAACCTCAGTAATGCAGGTTAATCTCTTCAGATCTCGGTGCTGAAGCCTCAAGGAGAGCGGCCACTTAATGCTTGATTACTAGTGAACTCTTGGGGTTGCTGTCCATCTACACTTCAATGTCAGTCTGTAATCCATTAAATACTTTAGGTGAATGAACTGCATTGGAGATCCATGTGAAAGATTAGCTACTATCCCAGTGCTAAAGGTAATCTTTCCAGCATTCAGGATAAGAAAATAAGATGGCTTTTTGTGCTCACCTTAAGGTTGAGACATTAAAAAAAAGCCTGATTTTTTTTTATCACTAGTGTGTCTGCATTTTCATTGACCTACCACTTTCTCCTTGGTTCTGTAAGATAGGAAATTATATATGATTGCCTCTCTTTTATGCTAAGTAAATCCTCCACCAGTAAGTTTATTTTGGAAGCATAGTGATCCCAAACAAGATGACATTTAAGGTGTGAAACTTATTTTAAAAAAGTGTTACTGTTCTGTTTTTGATTATTATTATTTGTTATCGAAAATGAAGATGTTTTGTTCCAGTTATTAATAAAAATTAAACAGGGAGGACAATTGAACTTAACTGCTATTATCCCTAAATCCACTTTTTCAACGGATATCAATCTCACAAATTGACTCAGAATTAACTGCATATATTTAAATCATCTAGATTTCTGCATCAATATCAATGTGTTTTAGTCCTATGTTCGCAGTCTAAGGCTGCTGGCATTGGTCTCATACTCATTACTCTAATACCTAGATTATTTGTCTCCTCTATCTTTTCTGCAGTGAAGAATAATTCAGCCACTTGCCTTTCTTCATTCCTTAGTCCCTTAAGTCCTGGGATCATCCTTATTTCTTTCCAATGCTCCTGTGTATTTATGACATTCGAAAAAAATCTGTGGTTCATACTGAATCAAATGTTGTAATATTCAAGAACAAGTTACAATGCAATTTAGATTACAATGAAATCTGTTTGCCTAGACAAATCACAATTTCTGGAACACTTACAAAATGCAAATGTCATTCTTGTGCTATTTCTTTCTCTTTTCACAATGTAATCCAGTTGACATTTGGGTTTTCCGTTGCCATTTTCAAGGATTTTTGATTAACCGGCTTTTCCAGCTAATCAAAAACTTCACTGCCCACATCCTCATCTGCACCAACTTTGTGTGCCCATCACCCCAGTTCTCATCAGGCTCCACTGACATTGTGGAAGAGGAAAAAAACAAACCCCTAAATATTTCACCATATTATAAGAATGAATGCCTCCCCCACACCCCACTCATTTGCTCGGCGTCTAACCTCATATTTGTGAAGCTCTCCAAGATGCTATCCTACGTGAAAGGTGCTATATAAATATAACTTGTGTTTGCTCCCCTAGACTGTCTTAACATTTTAACAATTAAAATTTAATAAGATGTCAGTAGTTCGTGTAATTGAGTGCTTCTGAGTAATAAACCACTATAAAAATGTAAGTTCTCTTTTTAATAATCTACAACGGTTTCGACAATGCCAATAGAAGCTGCATTTAATTGTTGCCTTTAAATTCAGCGAGATGCTTGTTTTGTTTTTCGATTGATATGGTAGAGGAGGCTCACTTGCTCAAAATGGTAATGTGATTCCAAAATATATTATGAATTGCACAACACTGACATTATTTTGTGGGGAATGCATTTAACACATTGTAATTTGGATTAATGGGTACATTTAAGCACCCCAAGACACTACCCTGAGTGAAAGGCACAATATAAATGCAAGTTGTTGTTAGAAATGTTATTTTTAAAGTTAGATCAGCAGAGTGCTTTGTATTTTGCAAATTTCATACAGGTATGAATATTGTTTTAGGCTCTACTCTTTTTGACCTTTTCCCTCATCTTTGACAGATCTTGGCCTTTACAATGAAGCTCTTAAAATCATACACGAGTTTTCCCAATACTATCCATTTGGTGTGACAGAAAGCAATTGATTCCACTGATTATACTCATCATTGGCATGAAGAAGCTGCAGAATTGGAAGACCCCTCTACAACAGATACAGAAACAGTTTATCTCTGGAAAAGTTCAGAACTTATTTTTGCCATCAGTTTACTTTGTTAAAATACTGATCGGTTAACGTTGGAAGTAAAATTCAAACTAAAGTATTGCTATGGAATTACAATTTTCCCATTTTCTGAAATGCTACAAAATAAAGTACCAGAATTTGAGCAATCTAGCTTCTGAATTCATTGAACAGGCTGAGTTTAGCTCACTATTCCAGTAATCCGGTCATTTTTTAATCAAGATTGACGGCCTGGAATTACTTTCATGAAAGGAAAACATGGAGTGAAATTGTTATGTTTTGTTTTCTATCCTCTTAATGTACACTAGTTTGTGTTGCAAAATAAAATGTCTATTATTTTCAAACTGGTATATGTACTATCATTATTTTAGCAACAGTAAATAATTGATCTTGCTAAACAGCCAACATAGCACATTGCCACTAAATCAGCTAGGGTTTTGGGTACTTGATTTGTTTTCTGCCGGACAAACACTATCCACATTCCTTTATTTGAGTTACAAAATTTTAACTTACCCTAATTTTCAGCTTTTTTTAAAAAACATCATCACTGTTATTGTGTACATTTGATAGAGGGTGAAGTTATTAATAATCTCATTTCATATTTTGTTTCCATCAGTTATCCTCCCTATTGTTTGTCTGAAACAAATAATTTTTTTGTAGAGTTCCAAATGCAAACCTTGCTAGTCCATCAATGCTGCACAGTTAACAAATTGTATTTACAATTAATTTAAAATGCTATCAGCAAACATGAGGAGCTAATGTAAACACAACAGATAATAAGCATCACATATCAAGTATTTTGGTATGTCACATTCGTTAGCTCTAAATATATAAGATTTATTTCCCTTGAATTAAATGCAATTATGCCAATAATACTTTCATTGTGGAAGTACATGATATAGATTCATGCTGACCTTGACTCTTAATTTTCACTCACAGTTGGGGCACCTACCCAGTGTCTCCTTGATGCCTCCAACACATCCAACAGAAAAATTGCGGATGTAAACTACTTTACTGGCACAGCATGTTCTTTCACATGGACGGCTCCACTGGGACAGGAGCTGTGTGATAGTGTGATCTATTGCTGATAGTGACAATCTTGCATTCTAAGAAAAGTTTGCACCTGAGATTTCTCTCTGTGAGTGCCAGAGATTAAATAGATTCCCAAATAATGACATTTAAACTTTAATAATCCTCTAATATTGCTCATTCCAAGCACACAAACTATTTTAAATGCACAAAATTTTATTTTATAGATAGATCTTTGTTACAAGTATATTGCTTTTCTCAAATTCTTGGTAATGAAATCACAAAATGTGAAAACTGTGGAAACTTCAGTAACAGAAAAGCCAATTACACTAAAAAATATTGGTGCCAATTCATCGCAACATGAATTTAAAACATAAGATGTGTTTTAAATTTGTGCCCACATCCGTGCCATTTACAGTATATTCTGTGAAGCGATTTGAGACGTCTAGAAGACGTGAAAAGCACTATATCAAATGCAAGGATTATTATTATTATCATCTGCTCTGACTTAACCCACCTCCACAACATTGCCCGGCTCCGCCGCTGCCGAAACTCTCATCCCTGCATTTATTACATCTAGGCTCGACTACGCCAACTCTCTGCTTGTCGTCCTTGCCAACTCTTCCAGAACTCTGCAGCTCGTGTCCTTTCCTGCACCAGGCTCTGTGGCCCCATCCTTGCCCAGCTCCACTGGCTCCTCATCCCCCAGAGGATAGAGTTCAAAATCCTCATCCTTGCCTTCAAAGCCCTCCACAGCCTTGTTCTTTCCTACCTCTGCAACCTGCAAACCACATATTGACCTATCCACTTCCTCCGATCGGCAGGCACCACGTCCCCTGCCTGGCCCTTCAGCCTCTCTGCCCCCTCTGGAACTCCATCCCACGTTCCCTTTGCTTTGCACCCTTCCTTGCCTCCTTCAAGGCATGTCTCGACCCTCCTCTTGACCATGCCTTCGACCACCCTCCTACCCTCCCTGCCCTCCTGGTCCCAACCCCTGCTCAGGTCCAAATCCCTGACTGTCCATCACCTTGGGACGCCCTCCCGACGTGAAAGGCGCTACACAAATCTAATTTGTTGTTGTTTTGAGCAACATCTTTAAATCTATAATTTTGTTCCTGTTAGCTTTACATACCTACAGTTGAATTTGTCCCCATTGTTTGGATGCTTTTATTTGTAATTATACAACATCCACTTCATTTCTAAGAAATCTTAATTGGGGAAGCACTTTGAGAGGTTTCTCAAAGTGCGAAAGTCACAATATCAATGCAAATTGTTGATTTCAATATGTTGTTTAAAGAAAGACTTTTCTATGTACAGAACATATTTGGTGGCAAATATCGGATTCTAGACACATTGTTTTGATACTTGCTGAAAAAAATATTTACACAATGTATTTTGACAGATCGCATGAAATATTAAAGCAGATGGATTCAACATGAAATGCATTGTATTAAAATGTGTGTCTATTTCCAGCTAATCCCAAACTACCTTCTGCACACTCATCTGACCAGGTGCAGGCCCAGAACCCCAATTCTCACCAGGCTCCACTGCGTCCCTGGCTCCCAATGGATCAATTTCAAGGTCTTCATCTTCATCTATAAACCCCTTCACACCCTAGCGCTTTCCTATCCAATATTTTCACTACCCGATTCCTCTGTTCACCCTCTCCATCAACTCACATTTGCTGCTCACTCCTCGCCTCCGCCACCACACCATTAGGGGCTGAACTTTCAGATCTGACACCCCAGCCCCTATCAGCTCTCTCTCCCTCCCTGTACCCTCCATCACGCCTCCTCTGTCTTTGAGTCCCACTTCAACTGAGCTCATGGTCACATCCCCATTCTACGCTCTGCATCCAACCCATAAAGCTCCAAGATGTTATTCTACATTTTTGTACATTCTTGTACATTCTACAAGATGTTGGACTCTATATAAATGCAAGTTGTTGATTAGATCAGTTTGACATGCCTGACATTTTGCCACTTTATTTTGGTGCTATTTATTACCTATGCTTAACAAATCTTGTCCCTATGATTTATGACCACAATGGTATACATGGTATATTTAGAGCCACTGATATGCATCTTTACTATTACCAGTTAATTGAGCTAATGCAGAACTATGTGGAAGTGTAAAACGAGAACTTGGGAAAAAAGCTTCCCTTGATTCAGCATCTAGCATTATGTCTGAACTGCAATGTTATAATTATAGTAAATACAGTAATCCAAACCTGTAATATTGTAGTTTTTGAATGATGAGCTCATTTGAACTCCCTAAGAAGCCAGGAAAGAGCTCAGATCAGAACATCCTGCATATTTTTAGGAAAATTTAGGATGTAATTAGAACCTACTGCTTTTTCAGAATCTTTTCATAATTTTGTCAATCCTATTGCTGATATGTGATGCCAAAGAAACTACAATTTCCTTATTGCTTTGCACTGAATGATCAATTTCAGAAGAAAATGAACTGGTTAATAACGGAAGCTCGACAACGGGATCCTTTGGAAAATTAAAACATTTAATTTTTAAAAATTCTTAAGCTTTGCACACTTAAAAAAAAAATTGCTTAAAAAACAAGACCTGCTGATATCAAGGGAGATTTATTGACGTTAATGTAAAGGAGCTGGATCAGCATTGGCTTATACCATAACCCAGATACTTCATTGAAACAGGAGTAGGCCATTCAGCCCCTCTAATAAAAACAGAAATCCCTGAGAGATACTCCCTATGCAGAGAGAAAATTAGTTAATGTTTCAGGTTGATAACCTTTTGTCGGAACACCCAAGCCTATTCCACCATTCTATAAGATCATAGCTGATTTCTACAGCAGTGCATTTGTTAATTCACTTCCCTTATTCAGTTCTTGGTTAAAGATATTCTTTGATCCAATTAAACAAAATTAATTAAAGTTGATCCCAATTCTGGGTGATTACACAGGGTGATTAAAATAGGATTAGTGGCAAATAAAATACTCTAGTATTGTGGAGCAGAAAAATCATTTGTGAGGCCACACTGAAAAAGTCAATTTACTAAATGTTTAAAATAGTTTTCTTCTTTCAGCTTTCGCTCTGCAGAGCAACCACAATATTTCCTGAAAGATAAGTGTTTATCAACGGTAGTGAATTAATCAGTTGATAGGCGTTATCCATAATGTAGAGGCGAAGAATTGGTTCCCAGATGCAGCTGAGGAAAATTACATTTACTAAGATTTCTGACAGCTGCCTGCCATCTGACACTGAGCAATCAGTTGAACTGCTCAATATATCACAAGGTAGCAATGCTGTGCCTAAGCAAATAACTTGGGGTGACAGTACGCAGAGGTGACAGCCAGCAACGCACTGCTGAGACTAACATATCATGTTACAATAAGTAATTATTTTCATAAATGCTCAAATTTGAGTGATGCGTTTTGGAAACTGATATCGTTTTTAATAAAAAAAAACACTGGAAATAGCAGGTCAATCAACATTCAAAGAGAACGATGTACATTTTATAATAAATGTTAAAAGCCCTTCTACAAAAAAAACAGTACGACACACGATATTATGGTTTCAGTTTTTCAGGATGGTAGTTTATCTCAAATCTGCTCCACCTCAATTGGCTATCGACTGTCAGACATCATGTCCTCAGTGAGCTTATTTCCTTCAACTAAATGTTGTCAAAATTGAAGCCACCGTTTGGCTTATAGCAGCACCTCTGGCTCTATCCACCTCCCTCGCTATTTACTGCAGCTCAGTCAAGCCACCATCTCAGGGTATGGATGACTCAGTTCTCTTTTAAGCTCTTGATCTGGTCCTTAATTAAGTCGCTTTTGTTCATCCAACCCAAGTCTCTACCTCAGCACCAACAGGGCCCAAACCCTTATCCACATCTTTTGCTGTAATTTTTCCAATATTCTTCTCAATCACCTTTCCAGCTGGATCCTTCAAAAGCTCATCTAGAATTCTGTAGCACCATTCTCTGCAAACCCATCACTGCATCCTCCCCAGGTTCGTGTTTACCTGTTCCCCAGCAAATTAACTTGAAGATTTTTGTTTGAACTTTGAAATGCTTCTACTGCCTGGCCTCACTACTACTTTGATCTGCAATCTTACTCCCCTACCCGCTTCCTGCATGATCTCGGGTCTGTTTCATATTCCCTGCCCCTGCACCTTCCTCTGTGAAAGCAGCTGAACAAGTGCAAATTGTTTATAATTTAACTGTCAAAAATCTTTTATCAGATAGTCTGTCCTTATCGACAGATACTTTGTTTGATATGTGTCAGTACTTCAGAATTGGATAGAAATAACTTGCTTTTATATTGTGCCCTTCACACGGGGTAGGGTCCCAGAGCGCTTCACAGTGGCGAAGTCTGATCCGGTTATTTTTGGCCTTGAGAATGACTTGTGAATAGAAGGCGTTTTTTGCTTGAGGGAGCGGTGTTAAGTATGAAGATGCTACAGCTACAGCTGGCGGTGAACCGTGAGGCCGGTTTTGTGCCACCTGCGCTCAAGCAACCGGGTTTGGAATTTGAGGGCCTAGAGTTCACTGTTGTACCAGGACAAGCGGGTAAGCTTGGAGAAGGATCTGGGTCAGCTGGACAAGGGAATTGATGGTTGAGGAGAGGTGGTCGTTTAGCAGCTTGAAGGCTGCATTTGGATCACTGCAGGTGGAAGGCCAGAGGGAGAATGTCCAAGGATGACAGGGCGTTTGTGAGGGAATCGGGGGGGGGGGGGGGGGGAGCTTTTTTTCCATGGCTGAAAAAAGATAGCGGATGGCTTGGAGGAGGGGATGGGGATGCGGGAGAAGAATAAGGGGTCTGAGATGCCTTGTCCATGATGGACAGATCGGTGATGTCTAGGCCATGGGTGATGACAAGGTCGATGGGGTGGCCATGGTTGTGGGTTGGGAAGTTTTGGTGGAGGGTGAGGTTTAGGGTGGAGAGGAGGGCAGTGAAGTCAGGAGATGGGTCAGGAGCAGTTGAGGTGAAGGTTGAAATCGGCTATTATGAACAGCCGCGTTGTGCAGTGGGACAGGGATGAGAGAGGAGATATCCGCGGGAATAGAAAAGATTAGAAAAATTAACTGCACAAAACTAAGCAATTTACTTGGCCAGATTCTACTTCAGTAGAATGTAGACTGACTCTACTTGTATGTGATACAAATGCACACTTTTTATTTACACAGAAAATAAAACACCTTTGGTTAAAGGCACCCATTTACCAACCCTTGCCCCCCTCTCCACCACACACACTTAAAGCAGTTATCAGAAATGTTGATAAACAGAAAATGTAATGTTCACAAATCAAATCATGTGCAAGCTGGGTAACACTCTGCAGCTCCTTTTAAAGCAGATCACTGAATACTGCCTCCTACCTATTGCCAAATAACATGCTCTTCTAGGTTTCACTGTTGCTGCAGCTGGGCCATATCAAATATTATTAGTTTAATTGGTTTGATTAATCAGCTGCCGAAACAATTATTGCTTGAATGAGAGACAGGCTTTTCTTACGTCCATCAAGTGGTAATTAAAGGAAGTATTTTTACCGAATCCAGGACAACTATGGGCAATACTTCCCAAACATATTACAGGAGGGGAGATTAACGCAATCAGATGGTTTCGTATCAAGGCTATCTGTAACTTGTCTGAAGTATACACAAATCCCATTAATAACATTTGAGATTGTGAGAAATCAGCAAAAGGTACTTCCCCTTTCAGCAAAGGCAAATTATAGATACCTCAGTCATCAGTCTCCTTCCCCAAGTCACATTATATAGGCACAGCTTTCTTCTATATCAATTCTCATTTATTGGAATTGAAGACATTCAGATTAAAAAATATTGTTTAGGAGTCAATCTTAACAAGTGATTACCTCAGAAAATAAAACCTCACTAGTATTTTTCACTGATTTATCACTGGTGCCTACAGCTAAAATCGCCTGTAAAGCTAGAGACAGTAAACAATATTAGTTGAATGCTGATGGCAGATTCAAGGACTGTTCAGTATCACCTAGTGCATATTCTGGATAATTTTCAGAATTTCAAGATGGTCTCAGGAATGTCTTCAAATTAACTGGATCAGCCTTGAAACATGTCACACTAACAGACTAATTTCTGCTGCATCTCGATTATGTCAAGTACATCAAAACCATTCAGACATCAAATTGCTGAGCTGATGGAACAATTTATTTTCCCATTTCTTTGAAAGCTGCGGGTGACCTGTGTATGAGCAATAGATGTGAGCTTTGAGGAAAATAATTAGAAAGCAGTCTTTGTCTCCAAGGTTCTTCTCTCCAGTTTAGCTCTGGGATGTCTCTGCTGGGATTAGATTTCCTGTTGTGTCCAATTGCATACACTTACAGGTACATGCAGACACCGGGCATTCATTGTGATCCCTGTAAAACAAAATGCAAAAACAATTACCATATTGGTTGGATCAGGGCAGCTTTTTTCTAAAGTAGTGATGCACAGAAACTTGGACGATTACAAATAAACTCTAATTTGCGATACTGAGATGAAAACTGAATGTGTATCAAGGCACAGTTTTAATTCAATCTAAGAATAGAAAACCAATGAAACTAATAATATTTGATATGGGATATCAAGCCATAGTTTAATAGTTTAGCTCAATCCGTGAGGAAGATATGAGAAAACAAAAGAATAAGCACAAATAACAAAATATTTTTATGAAAAGGTGTGCACTATTGAGAAAATCTAAACCAGCTATACTATGATCATAAAGAACAAAGGGAGAAGTCACCTGGTAGTTGGGACATGACTCCAAAATAACCACAAGAGATGAAAAGAATGAAAATGAAATAAACTTGCTGTCATGGTTCACAGTTGAAAAATGGTCATTGGTAAGTACCAGAAGGAACCTGATAACAGTGGAAAAGTTCAGACCGCTGAAGGTGGACATTTTAGGACATTCAATGAATTGAATTTGTGCAGCTCTTATGAATCTAGCAAAAATAAATTTATGGAAATGTTAAAAAAGTAGCCGCGATCCTTCGGTTGGGAGTGTTTTAGTTTAGGGAGGCATTCGTTTGGAAAGCACGCAAGTGTGTGGTTCTTAGCAAAGGATATTGCTGGGGCTCAAACTTAATGGGACATCTTAATCCTCGCATTTGATATTGCGCCTTATCACATCTTCAAGATGTCTCAAAGCACTTCACACAATGTACTGTAAAGTGAATTGACTGTATATTTTGTGGGCAAAACGCAGCAGCCAATTGCACACAGCAGGTTCCACAAACAATCATGGATTGATTGACCTTTAAAAAGGGATTATTACCCCTTGAAAAGTGATCTGCGAATTGACTAACAACTGGGTTCCTACTTACTGCTAGGTAAACAGAAGCATGTGGAGTAAGGAAATTTGCCCAACTTAACCCACTTAAAATAAAACTGTAAATCATTATTAATTAATATACTATCCCAAATTATATCGATCAGGGTTAAAATTATGGATCTTAGGAAGTTTAATAAATAGCTGCAGAGCACTGAATGGAAAAGTAATGGAACTTCTCTTAATCAGCTCCATTAATGCCAAGATTATCTAGCAGAAAATTAAGTGATTAAAAGTAAAATTATTAAACCATAATGAGAAACTCAGCCAGCTAGCACAGACATGACAGTGTAAAAGGCCTTCTTCTGTGTTGTAAATTTCTATGGCTTAAATGGTCATTAAAACAAACAGTGCGAAGAATTTAACATTTATTCCTATGTGGTTGATTAAATGGGTCAATAAAATACACCCCATGCTGAAAATATTCTGGATTTAGCACAATTGAGCTATGATGCCTGGAGTTTATTGATTTTACCTGGATTATAAATCATTACAAATTATAGCCTCTAACCAACTTACTTGAACCAGCTGAGCATGTGACCAGCGTGACCTCCATGGCGACAGTTTTGGCACCAGGTAAACCAGTTGTTGAATTGAGCCAATTTTTTATCTTTGCTGAGGTCGACCTTTTCGTCAGACTTCCCAGTTCCTAATACAATAGAAGACATTCAAAATAAACCAGGTGAAAGGTATTGTGGAAACCGACTTTCAGATCTATTATAACAACAATAAATAACTTATACCTAAATATCATTATAAGGCAAAGCTTTAAAAGTACTGCTCTGGTTGCTCTTCACCCTTCCACCTCACCATTTTTCATTCAAAACATGAAGGCAACTAGATTTGGCAAAATTGTTCATACGCATCTTTGTATGTGTTTATGCACACATGATATATTAACTAAATATCATTGTCTTAAATATTCTTTTTCCCCCTTATTTATGTTTGTTATTAAAAGCCACAGTTTATAAAATATACAAAGCTTTATTTTTAATATTGTTTTATAAGAAAGGGAAGATCGGTTTTCATGAAGGGTCTGACGATTTATTTTGTTTGGGTGCAACCACACGAATGATGTCAAAACACACTAGAACTGTGTGGCTTCACTGTAAGAAACAAGGATGTTCATTGAACTAGTTTGCAAACATTTTCATGTAGGTCTGATGATTGTTTGTGATATTTGTTTAATCAAATAGAGAAAATCAATACAGAGCAATAACAGATGTATCATCACATCTACAATGCTAAATCCAATAGCATAGACTACTTATAATTAAATGAAGTTTAAAAAGAGTGTCTTAAAGTCAAATCAAGGTGATGTAGAAATGGATGCATTAAAGGATATGAGAGATAGAGCAGTGCAACAATATTCAATGGCTCTTTCTTATTCCATTTTCTTATTTTGCAAAATACCACAGCAGTTTATTAAACTGTTGTTGAATTTTTATTTTAGATATCATGTTCAAATAATAAATAAGTAATTTAATAATGCATTTTACATAGACGTCTCAAAGTGCTTCACAGAAATGACTGTAAAGTATAACGACTATTTTGTAGGTAAAACATTTTTTTTAGCAGTGGAGAAGGAAAATACATCAAAACATAACAGTACAAGATCTGGTGACTGTTAAACAGCAGTCCCATAGCAAGACAAAATCATAAATCATACAAGTGAATCTTTTGTAGTTTATCAATGTCACCTCAGTTAGATACATCAAGCATACTAAAACTTATGTTATTTATAATATCCACCTGTGGAGTTGACAGGTGGTTATCCATTCTGCTATTGGGTATGCTGGAGGTCAGCTATGATGAGAGTTGTCGTGCTAATGTTTTATTTTGCTGTATGTTAACAGCAGTAATATTATACGCATTAGTAAACAGTAAGGTAGAACAGCCTATCAGTATTTTCAGTATTATTCTTACATTGTTCATTTGAATTGAATATTTCTTTCTTCAAGCATTTCCTCTCCAGCTATAATAATAATAATAATCCTTGCATTTGGTATAGTGCTTTTCACGTCGCGAGGACGTCCCAAAGCACTTCACAGAACACATTGTAAAGTGAATTGACTGTATATTTGTGGGCGAACGCGGCAGCCAATTGCGCACAGCAATGTCCCACAAACAGTCGTAGATTGAAAATGACCAATTTATTATTGTTTTTGTTTGGAGGGATTATTATTAGGCTCTGTGTGGAGTAAGGAAACTTGCCCAAGGTTTCGCCCTCTGCCTGGAATTGAACTCAGGTCTCTCGCTTGCAAAGCGAGTGCTCTAACCACTGAGCTACAGGACTCCACAAATATAGCTATGCAATATAATTCCTTGGCCAGACAGAAGACCAGGAGAGCAGGCTTTGAACTCCTCCATACTTTACAATAAGACACATTTGCACCAAGATTTTCAAGGACCAAGATAATTATCACTGGTATTTTTGACAAACATTGGGTCAGAGGAGCCATGACTTTTGATTTCTACATCAAGAAAACTGTTGGAATAGGACTTGGTAACATGAAGAGGACTTACCTAGACAGCTTGAAACCGGTGTTCCCATATTGATGAGACAGAGGGCACAACGGGGTAGAGGCTTTCGACAACCTGGACAACTTGTGACCTTTGATTTGGTTGGGGAGCCACTAACACCGTATTGACTAAAACTTCGTCCCTGGTGTGGTATAGAAGAGCAGCTATACGATATGGTTTTTCCACAAAAGTTGCAACTCACAAACACCTGTAAAATAGGGCATTACCCAATGGTAAATAAAAAAATCACTGCTTTAATTTCCTAACACAGATTACCTGGCAGTCAACACTAAGATACTGCTGGAATGCGTTCCAGAAGATAAAAGTTATGTAACTGTATACTAATCTTTTCTAAGATTAGAACTACTCTCACATTTCTTTGGATTAAACCAGATGGTTTCACAAAAATTTCACTTGGCCCAGTCATGTTTGGCTTTTAGCCTTGATCTAATCATTACAAGCAGGCTCATGGCGAAAGTATGGTGAAGACTTAACTTCAAGAAAACTTGTTAAATTTCATGTACTTTATAGCTTGCTATGAGAAACAACAACATGCATTTATATAGCACACTTCATACAGGATAGAGTCTCAGAGCACTTAACAGTGGTGGAGCTGGACACTGAACCGGCAGGAGAGGGGAGATGATCGTAGGCATGATCAAAGAGGAAGGTTTTAGACGAGATCTAAAGACAGGCAATGAGGGGGCAAGGTGGAGGGATTGAGGCAGAGTTCAAGAGTTTGGGGGCACGGTGGCTGAAAGTATGGTCCCCAATGGTGGAGGAAGGGATGATGGACGTGCAGAAGGCTGAAGCTGGCTAAGCAAAGGGGTCAGAAGAGGACTAGATCAGAGAGGTGCCAGAGCACGAAATAATTTGTAAGCAAGTGTGAGGACTTTGAAATCAATCAGGTGGTGGAGCCTAGCAAGAACTGGATGATGGGGGCACAGAGTTTGGTACAGGTAAGGATATGGGTGGCAGCATTTTGAAGCAATTGGATTTTATGAGTGGTGGAGCTGGGAGACCGGTGAGGAGGGCAATAAAAAAAATCGAGGCTGGCGGTGACAAACGCATGGATACGAGTTTTCTTTTTGCTAGGTGCGAGTTATGGAGACAGGCGATGTAACAAAGCTGGAGGAAAGGGGTCCTGGTCAGGGACTGGATGTGGGGAAGGAAGGACACCTAGGTTACAGATGGGTTCAGTGATTCTGAAGAATAGGTCAGGGAAGTTAAGGAGGTTGGAGCCATAGGTGAGATGATGTTGACGGAAGTCAAGGAGGATGACTTCCATCTTGTCAAAATTCAGCTGCAGAAAGTTGGCACTCTTCCAGGCCTTGATGTCTGATAAGCAAGAGAACAGAACATCAGTGTACTTAGAGTTGCAGCTAGAGGAGGAAATATAGATTTGGGTGTCACCCGCATAACTTGTGAAAGTTGTTTGCTTGTCTGCAGATGTTATCAACGTTTTGAGGGGTAGCAGGATTGTTCCAGCAGAAAGGGACAGGTTGATCTGCCAGTAGGGGAGAGAAGTGTCAGTTGGGTAGGGCTGCATGGAGAGGGGATGGATCCAGCAGCTGGATGGGGAGGGGGAATGGATCGAGGGAGCAGGTGGTAGGTTTCATCTGATTGATAAGGATTTTGAGGGAGGAGGTAGAATTGGAGGCAAAGGAGTGTAGGGAGGGAGCAGTGATTGGGGCAGTCAAAGAGGAATTAAGGGTTCTAGAAGACATGGGCAGAGGGATGGAGATCAGGGGGAGGGGGGAATAAAAGGAAGCAGCCAAGTGGATGTGGTCCATTTTCGATGCCAAGAACTCCAGGATCACTTCGCATTTGGTATCCAAGGTGAGGATGGACAGTGCTTGGGGGAGGAGAGTGGGGTGAATATGTGATGGAAAACAGGAGTTTGGGATCGTTTTTGGCCTCCAGGATAGTGTTGGAGAGAGGTGGTAGGTTTGGAGATGTTCAGTTATCCAAATAGAGTTCCATGCATGCCATCTACACACAGAAATTCCTGTGTTTGGAAGGGAACACACCTCCTGCTTACCCAATTCCAGACAGCATCACAAAAGCCAAGGCTTAGGGACCACAGAGTGTGCAATAGAGTACTGCTGGAGTTTAACCAGTTAAAACTGCATAGCGTGCCATTGAGAGCACTGTCTCACAAGCTTTCTGTTGCTTGCCCAGCTAGGATCACCCTATCCACTAGGGCTTAGGTTGCATGGTTGCAAGCTAACTGGAGCTGTGTAGGAAAAATCCCTGCCCCTCCAAGTCCTAACGATTTAATAAGTTTGATTTAGGATACTATCAGGAGCAAAATGCTTCATTTACATTTTAAATAAAATCTGCTTATTGAACTTTTTTTTACTCAACTTAAATGTATTTGCACATTTTAATAAATTAGCATAAAGCATCCATGAAATATGTTTTTAAATATATCCTGATCAAAACATGTGTGTATTTCCAATGATTGATATAACATTCCTAGCAAAAATATACAAAATATTTTCTTTGAATTACAAAATTACGATATTTCTCAGTATTTGCCCTTGTTCTTCAAAAGCCCCTCACCAACTTTGTAAGAAAATTGACCTTTTTCTAAACCTTCCAACCAATTGCCATTAAATATTCAAACTACAGCATGAAATGTTCAAAGGCAGACATGCTCCAATGTGGAACAGCAAGGAGACATGTTACTCCTATGCCATCTTTTGGTAAAAATGTTAATTACATAAGACCTAATACAATCCCCAATGATTCAAAGCAATAACCATATCAGTGATGGAGATGGCATCAGATGTTTTACTGTCTTTGAACAATTTCATTATATATATATATAACCCTGGTATCTGTAATTCAAATAAAGGCAGCGAGTGCAGTAGCAGTTCCAATTGCAGCATTCAACAGATTCAAAGTGATGTTAAAACCAATTCAAATATCCTCTTTTTCGACTTCCAATGAGTGTACAAGTGAACTTATTTGCATACTATCCACTTTCATCTTAGGATTTTTGAAAGTCCTGATTTGTTATAATGGCAGTCTAAAAATGTTATGGTATCTTGCAGAAAAAAAGAGATTAAGCAGGTCTTTTGAAGGAAGTTTTCATCATGAACCATAGAATCTTATTTCATCCTTCTTTCACAATAATTATTGGACTTCATAAAAACTAAACCCCCTCCATGGACTAAATACGAAAACCGTATTACCATTGAATATTCAATAAGGTAGTATCTTGTCAAAATAGAACCAACATTCAGTACAAGAAAATGTCACTAATTTTTAAACCTTACCACTTAAAAAGCCAATGTCTAGGTATATTCATTTAAGGGAGAATCATTGTTTTGTTTATCCTTCATCAAATTATTTATTTTCAATACAGAATTAGATGGTAAATATGTTGTTAGGTGTAGATTAAAAGCATTAACAATCCCTTCCATAACTAATAATTCTAAATATTTTTAATTTGGGAGAAAGTTTTATGAACACGCATAAAACATTAGGGTCCATAAAACTTTTCGAGAATTATAATGACTATGATTTGAGAAAGGAAATACAGAGTTATACTAGATGAAGTAATAAGCATGCCTTTGGATTCAGTGAATCAGACGTGTACGTTTCATTGGTTTTGGAAATCAGTTTATAATTACATCCCTGAATAGCCCACCAGCACGGTCAGTCTTCACACCAGGATTTCTCCTCATACTGATGATGGCAATCAACTGAAAAAAGTTACCATTTGGTTGAAGTTCTTTTTTTAAAAAAAAACACATGGTCTTACTTTTATTTCAACTAACATGAGTTGTGTTGTTGAAGAAAAAGGCATTTTACCTGTGCAAGAGGTTTTGAACTTGGGTCCAATTTACTCCTATGGATGTCAAATTCTGCCCTTTTATGCCAAAATCTCCATGCATCCAGTAAGTTCCTATAGTTCTCAATCCAATACTGCACCCGGGGATCTTTAACAACATCATTTGGAGATCCCTGAGGATGTTAAACATACCAATAAGTTATTTTTAAACATTATTCACAAAGCACATATTTCAACTATGGCGTGTGACAAGTCTGTGACAATGGGTTCTATATTTAACTTGCAAAGCTTGTCTGACAGTCAGGGATAAAAGGTGCTCATTTTTTTAATTTGAAAAATGTTGAACAAAAATGTGGTGAGTTAACATCATTGCTGATTCACCAAACAATGGATTTTTAAAAAATCCTCTCAAACTCCCATAATGTTGAACTCTATTAGAACTCTTCTGCTCCAGTGAATACAACTCTATTTGTAAAAGAAACCCTTTCATCAATGCTATAACCTTTCATCCCCAATAAGATCTGTGAGTCGATGCTGCAACCTCTCTATGGCTTGATAGCCTTTTAATAAATAGGTCTATAATAGTACCAGAGGAAGCAAATAGCAAGTCTTGGCTACAGCTTTTAATGCTTCATCCCAAACCCATAGGAACTCTGCTTCAATGTGATCGTTATTTGTGACGCAGCAAACCTATTTGTGACTTAGATTACCAACATCACGTTAGATCCCCACTACCACAATGTAATATACAACATGCTGTAATATGCATTTTTAAAAATGTCTGAGAATGACCCAGGGAAGTTGTCTGCTTGGTTAAGTGGTTTGTAGTGGACAGACTGTCAACCCATCATGAACTAGCATCAATGGTGAATTAGAAACCTATCTGTAACTATTTTAAATTATAATAATAATCCTTGCATTTGATATAGCACTTTTCACATCTTCTCGAAGTCTCAAAGCACTTCGCAGAATATACTGTAAACTGAATTGAATATATTTGTGGGCGAAATGCGGCAGCCAATTGCACACAGCAGTGTCCCACAAACAGTTATGGATTGAGTGACCACATTTTTTTTTGATGTATTATTATCCCTGGAAAAACAATCTGCCAATCGACTAACAACCGGGTTCCTATTTACTGCTAGGTAAACAGAAGCGAGTGGAGTAAGGAAACTTGCTCAACATTTCGCCTTCCCAGGAATAGAACCCAGGTCTCTCGCTTGCGAGGCAAGTGCTCTAACCACTAAGTTACAGGACTCCAAATTATTATCTATTATTATAAATTATCTATTATTACCATTTTATACATCCCTTCTGATTTACATCCCTATTTTCTCAAGGGAGACAGAACTGTAGACTTGTGCTGTTCCACATCAGCTAATACTTAGTAGTAAACTCTCTCCTCACCACCCACCCCCGAAACGAGCTTTCACCAGGACCTATGCTGTTTGAGCTAACAACCCTTCCCTATGGGCGAGAAGAAGAAAATGATGTTTGAATGTAGGCCAAAGCTGGAATTTCAAATCAATAGATAGAACCAACACGTCACCTCTCGTGGAGTCTCACTCTTGATCCATAGTTAATGTTAATTTTTGTTCAACCTACCTGTAACATACAGAAGCTTGCCGTTTGCACATCACCTGTTCTGTCCACATAGCTCTCCATTAAGTCAACGCCATCTTTTGTCAAGCCTGTTAACAGGATCCCCTCCAGATTTCCAGCTTCTTTCATTTCATTCGTGAGCTTCTCAATATAACGAAGCAGCTATGTAGTGGATAATTTACATTTTTATTATTAGTTAATAATTTGGCATAAATTCCATTTATAAGAATATTTTAACAAAATGTAAAATTTTCCCATACATAAATTAAACTGTTGGATTAACATTGTTGCCCAGCGACCCATTTACCTAGTTAATCGCTACCTCACATTGTTGAGATATGGTGAGCAATAGTCAACCAAAGGTGGGCAGGGTAAGTGCAGTGGTAGGAGCTGTGGTGGAAAGAGTGGCTGATGAAGGCATGGGTGCAGTGCTAAAGGGACACAGGGAAGGAAGGAGACATTGTCTATCTTAGAGACAAAGACGTCCAGGGTCTATTCGCACTTGGCATTTGAAGCGAAGATAGAGGGTGACTGAAGGGGCGAGCGGAGGAGGTGACAAGTAGTGGAGAACGGGTGGGTTTGAAGACGGCCCTGGATTGTAGGGTGACAAGGGAACTGAAGGTAGAAGAGACACGATTGTTTAGCAGCTTGATGACTGCAGCAGAGTCACTGTAGGTGGAAGGCCAGAGGGAGAAAAGGTCCGAGGATGAGACGGCATTTGTGAGATACTCGGGAGGAAACTTTATCCAGGGACAGAAAGAGATGGTGGAGGGCTTGGTGAAGGGGAGGGGGGTGAGAAAGTGGTCAGAGATGTCCAAGATGGAGAGCTCAGAGATGACAAGGTCATGGGTGATGTCGAGATCGAGGGGAATGACCACGGTTGTGGGACAGAGAGTTTATGTGGAGGGAGATGATTAGGAAGGTGAGGATGGCACTGAAGTCAGAAGAGATAGGTCAGGAGTTAAGATGGGTTGAAATCACCCATGATGAGCAGGCTCTCAGTACTGAAGTAGAGGGATGAGAGGACATATCTGAGAAGAAGGAGCCAGGTGGGTTTTGGTGGGGCAGGGAGAGGGAGTAGACTAGGAGGATTTTGAAGGAAAGAAAGGAGAGGTGCTCAGAGGGGAAGGAGGCAGAGGATTAGGGGGATAAGATGAGGTTTGGGAGATGAGAGCCACCCCAACCCACTGCAACATTTCAGAGTGAGAAGAATCTCTGCTCCTGGAGATTGCTCTACCCACAAGTCAAGCCAATGAGCCAAATGGGCTGGTATGTGATTATCAGTTTCCTGGAGTACTGCGGACTTCACATCCAGGTCAGGAGCTGAGACCGCTACAGAGGAAAAACTCAATTTAACATTCTGTTGCCATGCACATAATCTTGAAGATCGATGGGAATGGCTTGCAGATTTGTTTCTCGGACTACGGGACGATTGAGAAGGTGGATGTAATCTGCGACCGCGATACTGGCAAGAAGCGTAGCTTCACCTGGAGTCAGCTCAGCTCCGAGCCTTGCCTCCCCCACTCCCCGGTAGGATAGTATCCATAGTCATTTAACTAAATTCTGGGGATTATTCATCTTCAGCATCCAAGACGTATATTGATAAAAATACATAATAAATATATACACACACACACACACACTCTCCTGTTATAAGGGGGTAGCTGAGGTCCATAAAACACCAACCTGCCTTATAATAGGGCTTGGACAGGCAGTCAGCATTTCTGCATTTACTTCACATGGCTGGCCACCATCTGTACTAAAAGTGGCCAATATCATCAGGTCACTGACATCATTACATTCCACTTTGTGCAGAAAACAGGAAGTGAAACTGTGGTAACCGACTCAGAAATCATCTATTTCTGTTTTCATCTTTAAAACAGAAACTGCCAGTGCGCTCCATGGGTGTTGGCAAGTTACACACATGTACAGTAAATCCCTCCATCAAGTCTCTTTATAATTCAGGGTTAGGATTTTAATCCCAAATAAATAAGGCTGTATAGCTAGTAACACCCATATAGAATTAAGAATTTCCATTCCCGCCAGTTACGTTCTCCCTTGAACTATCATGTTTGACTTTATACAGAGTAAATTTCAAAACATTTTAAGTTCACATTATTTGCTGCACTCACCTGGGTATCATTTAGAAACATGTTAGCGAAGGCAACTCGGTCACGTACAGCTACATTGCTCTCAAACTATAGACATGGATTTTAAAAAAATGGCATTACCATTTTGCAACAAAATTGGTTGACAAATCATATATTAAGAACGGTAAAACTCACATACGTTGTATCAGGCGTGACCATAACTGCACAAAGTCCAAATTGCAGACAAACTATAAATTGTAGAAAATCCGTTTTAATCAATAACCTACTCTGCACATGCATAATTTAATGCAGCTGGTAAGTGTGCATGCAGTCGTATGTCACTGTAGCCAGTGAGTGCATATGCAGTGACAGGTCAACACTACATTTTGTGCAATTCAACGAGTCTTGACCCATCACTGCATTCACACGTTACGGCAAGCATTGGAATCACATTGAATCGCGGGAAATTAAGTTTTTCTACAAATGCATCAATGAATCAAAACTGTTTCCCACGATTCAATGCCGGTAAATGTGCGAATAATGGATGGAGGGTAGGGGAGCGGCATTACAATTTAGAAAGTGATTAATACGAGTAGTATAAAGAAATCTAAAAGATTTTGATAGGAAACTGAATGGGACTCAGGCGATTATACGATTTATAAGGATAAGACATATGCGAGTTTTACTGTATAAACTCGCACTTCTGGGCAAAAGAAAACTTACCAGTACACCATCGTAAGCCCCTGGTTCACTTGTTAGAAAGGCAAACATGACACACAGATAAGGGTTATTTAGCTGCAGCCTCAGAGTGCTACACATTTCTCGCCATAGAGAATTCTTCTCATCTGTGTAGCCTGACAGTGCCATGGCTACAACATTCAGGTTCAAATCTCCTGCAATTGACAAAGGTTTGTTATTAAGCAATGGATGTATTCTTTCATTTTTTTAAAAAAAGAAAACTCCACAATATTCTTGAATATTCATTATCCTGACTTATATTTTCTCGCCAATGCAAATTCACCCCAAAATTTGAATGAACTGGATACTCATTTGATCGCTATTTGTGGGTTGCTGCTGGTGCAAAATAGCTGCCTACACAAGATTCACTTCACTTCAAAATAACCTCGTATAACACTTTAAGACATTTCTTTTACCTGAAAGGCTATATATAAATGCAAATTGTTTTAGCACTGAGCCGTGTAAACTGAGTGGAGAAGGCACTCCCAAAATGTAGGTCATTCCCCACGCACACAGCAGTATAGGTTTCAGGTGAATACAATACAATTTATATTTTTATAGCCCCTTTCATATCAGGCGGACGGATCAAAGCACTGCATACAAAGGCACAGCATTTTACAGCCTGACCTTGTAGGGTTTATTTAAGGTTCTGTGAAGGACACTCATTTTGTTTGTTTTAATGCTAATTTTGCATTTTAGAATATTTAAGCCTGTGTTTACCTAGCAGTAAGTAATATCAACCTCATCCCCTTCCTCCGAAGGGATTACACGTTCGATGCTAACAACAGGTGTACTTGAAACAAAGCATTGGAATCAAGGTTTATTACAAAATTATAGGTGATCAGTTCTACACAACTGTAAGGAGATGCAGTCGGATTCTCTGACGATTCTGCTTTCAATGATTGTTGGAAAATTCCCCTCCTAATATGTTTAATGCATGTTTACTACAAAAGCCTAAGAACCTAATAATCATAGAATTATACAGCACAGAAGGAAGCCATTCGGCCCTTCGTGTCTGCGCCAGCTCTGTGAAAAGAGCTATTCAAATCAATCCCACTCCACCGCTCTCTCCCCATAGCCCTACAAACTTGTCCTCCCCAAGTTATATAATAATAAATAATAATCCTTGCATTTGTCAACCTTATCCCCTTCCTTCGAAGGGATTACACGTTCGATACTAAACAACAGGTATACTTGAAACAAAGCAAAGGAATCAAGGTTTATTACAAAGTTATAGGTGACCAACTATAAGAAGATGCAGTCGGATCCCCTCCCCAAGTTATATAATAATAAATAATATGCCTTGAAAGAATGAAAACATTCTTTCAAGGTACTGAAGTTACTGAGATCAATGTCTAGGCTTTTTGCCAAGGACATCTTTATCTTTCCTTTGAGCTCTGTTGTCAAAGATGTTAGTTTCTCACATTTGATGTTAGCTTCTCTACTTTCACACTCTATGAAGCACACATTCCTGTGATAAGAGATTCTGATTACAGTAGAATGGTTCAGTAATAGAAGCAATATTAAATTTATCTGTGTGGTCCTCTGGGTTTCTGTGTTAATACTGTGGCTAACTGTTGCATTACTACTCTCAGAAAAACTATTTGCCAATTGACTAACAACCTACTTACTGCTAGGTAAACAGATGCGTGTGTAGAAAGGAAACTTGCCCAATGTTTCGCCCTGCTGGCAATCGAACCCAGGTCCTCTCACTTGCGAAGCAAGTGCTCTAACCACTGAGCTACAGGACTCTAGTCTCATAACATTAAATAAAGCATTTGTAATGTTGAAGCATATCAAAGATCTTCACAGGTAATTGCTGTCAAGAGTAGTGACTGTGTGATTGCAGGCAATGAGCACACAGCAGGCCCACAAACAGCCATGACATGAACGCCCAATTTATGCACAGTAATCACTTAACTAAAAAGTCACAAAAAAAATCAGATCTGCCACATACCTTTTCCCAAAGCAGCTCCCTTGTTGAGAATTTCAATAGCTCTTCGGATATCAAGGTTAAAAAGGGCAACAGCAGCAGCTCGTTCCCATTCTTCTCCTTGTTCTAATGAGCTGAGAAAGGGGGCTACATCGATCTCCGGACCTTTTTTTATCCAGCCACAAAGCTGCAGAGCGAGACATCTCTCCTCACTCTGATATCTGATAACATCCGTTTGCCGATCAGACCCAGTCCAACTGTGTTTGTAACCCTCAGTTTTTCTCTCTGTTGATGAAATGATCAAAAAAAAGTTGCAGTTTCACACAATTTTAACCTTTTCCACATGCATTGAGATGATATTCTGTACCAATGGGTCTTAAATGACTGACCTTTGGAGGCAGTGTTAAGCAAATCAAAGGTAAAGTTATTCCCATTGCCAAAATGGAAATAAGGCAGGAAATTTTTTTTGAAACATAAATTAAGAAAATAGATCCAGAGAAGCTATTAAAGTTAAATAAAAATAAGTAATGAGGAGAAGGCCAAGGAAAAGCAAGAGGCATCTGCTCTGAAAAAATGGAACTTCCCAGGATCGAAGGACACCACCATATTTCTGCTGTACATGATGGTCATAATTAAAAATTCTCATGACAACAATGTGGAAGATATGAATAATATCACACAGCAACATCTATCACCCATGATCTATGCTTAATAGATTCCAAATACCTGCACTGTTCAATTTCCTATTATAACTCAGCTGAATATTCTGTTACTTCACTAACCAAATTATATGAAGGCCCTACATGCCAAGAAAAGACAACAATTTTCTAGTACAATGTAACCCAGTATTTTTTCAGGCACTGGAGTTTTAATAATAGTCAAGCTTCATTTTGGGGGGGTCAAACAGACAGGTGATGTTACTCTCATGCTTAAGGCACAGTATCCGCTTTGATTGGTATGCAGAGTGTTAAGCAGCTGCTGCTGAAGCTCTGCACTTCCAAACAGTGGACCCATCACTCAATGGGTAGGAATGTGTGTCTTGACCTTCCAGCAAGAGGATGGAGGCATCTTACATCAAATTGGAGCTCTATTATACCTGACAACCGTGTTCTACTTGCAGATTATAATAAATGAAACGTCACAAGCTCGTCACACTATTTAGGATTTACAGGTATGACAAATATTGCAGAAAAAGATTACGTCTTTCATCAAATAATTTAGTGTTGATTCAGGTAATTGTTCAAGTGAAATAGAAACAGAATTATGAAAACTGAGTCAGATAATAGTACCAATTGAGAAACATTTTATACTTTTTTTGTATTTAATTATATCAGAAACAATTTTATTTCCTTAAAAGGGATTACAGGTCATCAAAAGAAAGTGATTAAAACAATTGTTATTTCTGACCTGTTACACGGGTATCTTTCTTTTATATATCACTGAACCATACAGTTACGTTTCCAGACACACTAGTAACTACCAGTAATTTATTTACTTTCTTCATAAAATCTAGGTTTTGCCCTTAAAGAACAAACAATTGAGTTAACTGAATCCAAATTGATTTTCAGACAATCTGAAACTGAACTCTGGGGTCAAAGTTGAGGCTGAGAATCCACACTATGTGCATCCATACTAAAGGAAAAATACAAATGTTTGGAAACACTAAGTAATTTGTACTTACCTGCACTTGATTTCACTATTGTTTTAATGCCAGAATATACCAGAGGTACTTTGTTTACAGATGGTTTCTGATCTGCATCTTCAGCATACTGTTTCATAAGTGATTGTAAATATAGGAAAGTAACACAAGAGAGACATTAAAAAGAGATTTAGCCTGTGCAGTTTATTTTCCCTGGTTTGATGGGAAATTGGCAGAATGAAAATTTATATACGATCTAACCACTGCTATCGAAATATTCAGTAATGTAGCCTTGAACTTTCTACGTACTTGCATCCAAATGTTCACTACACTAAACTGATAATCCTATACTTCAACATAAAACAAAACCACGGTCATCATTTCTCACCATAGCAGTGGAATACATCAGCCCCAAACCAGCTTAAGGTTACCAAATAGCTGGATCTGTTTATACTCACTCACGTGAATGCTGAAAAAGCAAAATAATAATAATAATAATAATCCTTGCATTTGATATAGCGCTTTTCACGTCGGGAGGACGTCCCAAAACGCTTCACAGAATATACTGTAAAGTGAATTGACTGTATATTTGTGGGCGAACGTGGCAGCCAATTGCGCACAGCAATGTCCCACAAACAGTCGTAGATTGAAAATGACCAATTTATTACTGTTTTGGGTTTTGGAGGGATTATTATTAGGCGTATGGAGTGACGAAACTTGCCCAAGGTTTCGCCCTGCCTGGAATTGAACTCAGATCTCTCGCTTGCAAAGCGAGTGCCCTAAACCACTGAGCTACAGGACTCCGTCCTGAAAACACAAAATCCTAGTAATCCACAACAGATTAACAATGTCAATGAAGGTCACACACAATTAATCTCTTTCAATGCTGATCAAATTACTATGCATTTTTGCTTTGTATTTCAACTCAACTAGTTACACCGTCCTAATACATTCCTGGACAACTGCTGTATTGAAATATGTACAGTTTTGCAGGAAAAAGAGCATTCAGGGATATTTCTGTAATTTTTAAAAATTAAAAAAAATGAAAACACAATTCTCTCTACTTTGTGGCCCTGAACATTGATTAATGGAAATGGATAAATACTGATGGTTAATCTCACATTCTGAGTTATACTCTATGGACAGCTGACTGAGGAAAACATTAATCAGCCCAGCATTGCTGAATGCTAGTCAGAGGATGAAAAGCATGAACATGAAAAAATTGAGACTGGTATTTCAAACCAGAACTCCCACCTGAACAGTTTTAAACACTTTGCATATCACGTCTTTTGTACTTCCAACATTTAATTTTCTAGCAATTGGTTGAAGTTTGTAGAGTGATAAAGAGTGATACAAACGTTTCCAGAGAAGTTTCACAACAGATTTCAGTAGATTGACTTGTCTGCCAAGAAACATTTCCTGAAACAAACCTCTGAGAATAATTAGTTACTTCCCTACTTTCAGTAAAAAGAAATGGGAGAACCCACATGTGCAGAACGCATACTGTAAATGTTTTTCTGCAAAATTTAAATCCACTATATTTACAACCCCAAATATGCTCCAATTCAAATAAGAAACAGATCAATCTCTATAAATTACCTTCCAAATTATTCAATGAAAATATTTTTGCAATATCATGTCTAAATATTCAATACTATATAACGTTTTAGATCAGAGGAAAACAGTAAAACCTGAGGGATATCTATGTACTTTTCATTTCCCATACACATTGAATTGGAACATTATTCAGAATCAAAAAACAATGTCAGAAATTTTGCAAAAATTCTAAACCTGCTTAAAAAACCTGCTCCTTGTTCAACATCCTGGTTGTAAAAAAAACCTGCTCAGGTAAACCACTGTTCCTCATTGAACCACAAATATTTACAGCGCAGAAGGAGGCAGTTAGCCCATCACGTCCATTCTGGCTCTTTGAAACTACAATCCAATCAGTTCCATTCACTTGCCTTTCCCCTGTACCCCTGCAAATTATGCCACATAGTGAGGCTCACCAGCCTTCCGAATCTTAGATCCCACTCCGATCCAATTAGAAAATCTAGTATTAGGCAGCAGTACCAAAATAAATCTTTTATATCTTCAAGTGACATTTTTTTTAAGTAGCTTAAATAAGACAAGTCTTCAGCCAGCTGAGAGGCGCTCTGAGACACTACTCATGTGAAGGGCACGATATAAACGCAAGCTGTTGTTATAGTTGTTTGCTCACTACAAAATTAGGAATTCATCTTCTCTTGTTTGGATTCTAAATATATTTTATGAGAGAAAATATTTTTCGAACTGAAAGTATAGCCCCTAAATTATAGTTTTATTTTAATACTAGGAATAATTTCAAACAATGTCTGCTGCGTCAATAACACAAAAGAATAACTTCTATCATTTGTGATACTGATTATATCAACAAATAGAATTTGGTTCAATAACGGATCAACTATTTAAACTTCTTAACCGGTAAGTTAGAATATGTGTAATCAGAACATTTAATGGTAATGCACTCTCCCTGCTCAGTGGGTTACTTAATAATTTAACACTGATAATGCTTGCATTTCATATAACAACTTATCCCATTGTTGAGACATCTCGAAATGCTTCACACAATAAGACTGTAAAGTGGTGTCATGTGCGTATTTTGTGGGTGAATGCAGCAGCCAATTTACACATAGCTATGTCTCACAGCCATGAATTGACCAATTTTATTTGGGGATTGTTGGCCATAACACCAGGGAAAATTCGTTTCTCTTTTCAAAGTGCCTCAGAATCTTTCACAGGGAGATGTGACCTCTGTTTAACGTCTCATCCGAAGGACGACAACTCCAACAATTTAGCACACCCCCAGCACAGTATTGGAGTGTCAGCACAGACTGTATATGGGTTGCAAATCCCGATATGGGGCTTGAATCGACAACCTTCTGGTCAGAGTGCTACCAACTGAGCTAGGCTGACACACAATCACCTGAATTTCCTGAAGTGACACATTTGATAGTCACCCGAGCACATCTGCCATTGTGATATATAATGCCTTGGAAATTGGCAGAGTCTGCACGAGCACTACTGATGCAATCACAATGGGCTGCCATTTTTTTTTAAAAAGACGTTAACAGGACTTTAAATTGATTTGCACATTACATATTTGGAATTCTGTTGTTATTTATGATAATTACAGCTCACAATCCCTCTAAAGCTAGAAAGGGAAAGCTTATTATTGTTACCATTAAAAAATGCCCAATAACTATGGTAAAACAAACTACATAACAAACCACAAAATATAATTTATATTGATATATAAACAATGTGTTGATACATTATTCTGCTGCTCAGAGGATTTTAACCAAAAGGATATAATGCAGAGTGTACCACAGTGATTTTAGCTGTGGATCATCACCACCAGCTAAAACATGGTTTCTCCACACCTGCTCTGTGTCAAGTCCATATCTCGATAGTGCCCGCTGTCTCATTTTGGTGGCAATATCCTTCTCTCCATAATTAGCTTCTCCCTCTTCACTGCAATGATACAAATGCCTCCCACATGCCCACATCAGAGATGTAGTAGGACTCCAAGCCAATGAAATTCGTTCAAAGACAGTAAAGTCTGACATTGTTCGATTAGATGTTACCACAACCATGCGGTTCTGATTAGTTGGATGCCAGGCAAATGAGGCAATGTAGTTATCACATGGCTGCACACTCCTTTCAATTATGGTGGGCTCGGTTTCATCCCCAATGGGTGTAGGGGTATGCTGCATATCATACAGGCGAATGATATTACTATCTCTAGTCAATGTAGCCAGTAAACCAGTTCTAGTTGGACACCAAGCTACTTTTGTAAGAGGCTTTGGTTGCTCAGTCAGGGTCAGCACTGGCTTTTCAAACTTTCGCAGGTCCCAGATCGCCACTTGACCTTCAAAGAAAGATGCCACACGATCATGAAAATGAGGGTCAACTGTTACTCCCTGGACAGCCTTTGTGTTCACAAACATCTTCTGGCTAGTATTTCTCAAGTCAAAAATTGCAAGATTGCGGTGCATGCCTGCCAACAGTAGCTTCTGGTCCCTTGGGAGCCAACAAAGGGAGAGGCATGCATCATTCTGTCCTAATTCATACAATGGCTTTGTTACAACAAGGCCAGCATCGGTGTCACCAGCAGAAAGACGCACTTTCTCTGCTGGCATAGCTATCTCTGGGGTATATTTGCTGCTAATATCCCAAATGAGTACTGAGAAATCTGCCCTGTGTTTGTCCAGACCAGCAGCAAGCCAGTTACTGTCAACAGGATTCCAAGCCAATGTGTTACACTGTCGAGCATGCTTCGGTACAAATTCCTTTCCAATTAAGTCTCTACATTTAGAATTCCGATCTTGACCAAGACTAGTGAGGACAACTCGTCCGTTGGCTTGACCAACAGCAAGCAAGCATTCTGGATCATACTTTGGATACCAAGCAACGCATTTCATATAGGGGGTATCTGAATTGATTGCCAGCAACGTGGCTGTGGTATCTTCTGAAAGCCGCAAGGAGCCTGCTTTAGCTTCTGAACTGCCTACTGATTCAGTACGATAAAGGCACAGCTCAGAGTCACACACAACAAATCTGTCTACATGGTGTGGTGCCCACAATATATCGGGCTTTGAGCCACTCATAGTTGACACCAAAGTGCACCAAACTTCATTCCAAACGAGCTGCTTGATCGAAGGGTGAAAGACACATCTCACTTTCAAGCGTCTGTAAAACAGAAAATTGTTTTTGTTTATAGAATGATAGTACAGTGTTCACAACACAGAAAAGCGATTTGTCAATATTGTGGTTAGGCTGGCTCCCTGAAAATGCTACGATTTTTTAAGTTGTATTTTCCTGTAGACCTTAATACTTCTCTTTTTCAAAGTACTTAATGCCAGTTATGCAACAATCAAATGTTTACCATTACAATATGCAGAACACTGAACGACTGAATCTAAATTACACCAGAAATAACATATACAGAACCTAATAACACACTGAATTTAGACCACTCAAATAACTGAATTGCAAAACATTTGTTCCTTCTTCCACTTTAAATTCTTTAAATTGGTCATTTTCAATCTACGACTGTTTGTGGGACATTGCTGTGCGCAATTGGCTGCCGCGTTCGCCCACAAATATACAGTCAATTCACTTTACAGTCTATTCTGTGAAGCGCTTTGGGACGTCCTCCTGACGTGAAAAGCGCTATATCAAATGCAAGGATTATTATTATTATTATTACCTGGGAACAGAGTACTTTGTCAAGTTCTAATCAGAAGCTTGAACTTTGTTACTACGTTAATCAGCATGTTACCACACAAATTTGCTTTTTATTAAATGATGAATTGTTACACAACTGCCACTTCAAGTTTCCTACATATAGACAAGTAATTCTCATTGAAAAATGTTTTTTTCCCAATTTTGTTCCTTTGGTCACTGAAGTTAATATTGTAAATGTCTAGCCTGTATACGCATAATACTGACCTCTGCTCTTTCACCCTGCAAATCAAAGCCAGGACCAGGCATCACTTTATAACTGCAGACTTCCAAATTATTAACCACTGCAACTTTATGTTGATAAGCTTCATTTAATAAGTACTACCACTAAATGTTTGTACTGCAGCATCACAGTTTAAGATCAAACTTAGACATATTCCAGAGAAGCATATTTCACAAAAAGCATCCTAAATGTACCAGCTACCCATCAGTATCCAAATGACCAATTTCATATGTGAGTCTAGACTTAGCATTAACAGTTTATTTTGATCACAAGTTGTAGGGTTACAGGGAGAATTAGTTGCCAAGCCAATCTTCTGGTCATATATACACTTTCCAGCAGCATTCTCTGGACAATGATCAAATAGTGAGAATGCGAGGTTTATCCCCCAAGACCCACAAACAGTTGCTACGCTACAGACTATTTCATCAATCACTGGTTTGGTGGAATTACTAAACCCGCATATCTTGAATGATCACTACCAGTGGTGAACCCAGAGTGTGAGGCCATTTCAATACAGTAGTACAGTACATACTTTGTTGATTCAGTTTCTCGTGACAATATCAGGACTCAACATACTGGCAATTTTGAATGCTGACCATTTTAGTCTTTAGAACGAAGGCGCACAAATGTGCCCAAAATGGACAAAAGCACTTAACAGGATTCACTGCAAATTGTAGTGACTGTATTTACAGTAAGATTCTATGATTTAAAATAATCAAAATTATAGATCACATGGATGTGTGTGTGCATGCATGTGTGGGTGCGGGTGCATGCATGGGCGCATGCGGGGTTTTGGGGACGGGCGGGTGCATCGGCGGGTGAGTACTGTTGGTGTCGGTGTGTGTGTTAACACCTGGGTTCAATTCCCGGCAGGGTGAAACCTTGGGCAAGTTTCCTTACTCCACACCCCTAATAATGGTGTGTGTGTTGGTTTTGGTGTTGGGGTGTGCGTGGGAGGGGTGGATGTGGGAGGAGGGTGTACGGTGGGGGTTGGTGTATGTGTGGGGGGGTGGTGTGTGTGGGGGGGGTGTATGTGGGGGGGTGTATATGGGGGGGGTTGGTGTGTATGTGTGGGGGGGGGTGTGTGCGGGGGGGGACTGGTGTGTGTGTGTGGGGGGGTTGGTGTGTGTGTATTTGTTTAGTGGGGGATGGGGTTGGTGTGTGTGTGTATTTGGTGGGGGGGTTGGTGTGTGTGTGTATGTATGTGGGGGGGTTGGTGTGTGTGTAGGGGGGTTGGTGTGTGTGTAGGGGGGTTGGTGTGTGTGTGGGGGGGTGTGGTGTGGGGGGCTGGTGGGGGGGGGGGCTGGTGTGGGGGGGTGGGCTGGTGATGTGGTGGGGGGCTGGTGGTGTGGGGGGGGGCTGGTGGTGTGGGGGGCTGGTGGTGTGTGGGGGGCTGTTGGGTGGTGGGGGGGGTGGTGTGTGGGGGGCTGGTGGTGTGTGGGGGGGGCTGGTGGTGTGTGGGGGGGGGGTGAGGCTGGTGGTGTGTGGGGGGGGGGACTGGTGTGTTGGGGGGGCTGGGTGTGGGGGGGGTTGGTGTGTGTGTGTGGGGGGGGCTGGTGGTGTGGGGGGGGGGGTTGGTGTGGGGGGGGGGCTGGTGTGGTGTGGGGGGGGGGTTGGTGTGTGTGGGGGGGGGCTGGTGTGTGTGGGGGGGGGCTGGTGTGGTGTGGGGGTTGGTGTGGGGGGGGTTGGTGTGGGGGGGGCTGGTGGTGTGTGGGGGGGGGGCTGGGTGGTGTGGGGGGGGGGGTTGGTGTGTGGGGGGGGGCTGGTGTGGTGTGGGGGTGGGGCTGGTGTGTGTGGGGGGGGCTGGTGTGTGTGGGGGGGGGCTGGTGTGTGTGGGGGGGTGGTGTGGTGGGGGGGGGTTGGTGTGGGGGGGGCTGGTGGGGTGGGGGGGGGGGTTGTGTGTGGGTGGGGGGGGTGGGGGGGGGGCTGGTGGTGTGGGGGGGGGGGGGCTGGGGTGGTGTGGGGGGGGGGGTTGGGTGTGGTGGGGGGGGGGGGTGGTGTGTGGGGTGAGGCTGGTGTGGTGTGGGGGGGAGGCTGGTGTGTGTGGGGGTGAGGCTGGTGTGTGTGGGGTGAGGCCGCACGGTGTGTGTGGGGTGAGGCCGCACGGTGTGTGTGGGGGGGTTGGTGTGGGGTGGGG